TTCTGATACTTTTAGCTGTTTGATGTACAGTCTTCTAAAACAATAATGTCTACATTAATTTAAAGAGGTCAAATGATGACTTTTATTAATAATAATATTAATAATAACAATAATAATAATAGTAGTAGTACTGAAGTTTTATGAAGCGCTTTTCACAACAACTCAAAAATGCTCATTAAGTTGTAACAGTCCTGTGATCTATACAAAACGTGTCTAGGAAATATTATGTACTAAATTCCTCCCACTTAAAGGGATTTCTGCAGTTTTATTCTTGATGTTTCAGTACCTTCCAGAATGAGCCGTTTCAAAGCTGGAGCTGGCCACGCCCACTCATTCCCTGCTCAGGCTCCTATTAGCTGAAAATATATAATATCTGCTGCTCCTCCAGAAGCAGCTGCTCTCAAGCACATGAGAGGTGGTTCATTTTGTGATGTCACAATCTGGAGCTTTTTGAAACAGCTTGTTTTAGGCACAACAAGTATCAAATGGACACGTTTTTTCATGTTTGGAGTGTTTATATAGGTGGTGCAGACCCACACGGCAGCATAAAAGTAGGAAAAGGGGAGTTTTCCATGTGTCTTTTTTAAATGTTTTCTCTGTTTTGGAACATCTTAAACAAATCTTTTCACAAAAAGATAATAATAATAAGAAAACATTGGATTCATTTAATGTTCACATGAAAGAACTGCAAGCAAGTTTGTTTCTTCGGGCACCAACATGAAGCTGGAGTTTAGGATTTTGCCCATGCATGCTTTGGCACGTGGCCTGGGGATTGATCCTATGACCTTCGGGTCATAGGGAAAGCTCTCCGCCAGTTTCAGTCACAGCCACCACGTTTTTTAGGAAATGGTTGAGTACGTTTGCGTGTAGGTGGACTTTAAAGGGATACTTTGCAACTTTTTCATATTTTTAAATCAGTTTCCTGAGACAGTATGTGCCAAAAAGACCCTTTAGGGTCTGTCCCTCAGATCCCCACTGCCCTCTGAGACCGGATTACGGCATTTGCAACTTTACAATTGGTGTGTTGGACTTAAGAAAAAGAGCTGACATACCTGGTGCTGCAGTCTGCTTCCTGCTCATTTCCTGCATGTTTTAGGTCATGAACACAGCTGATTTGTTTCATTTGGTGATGAACCGCTCCTGTGGACACTTATGGGCTCGACACACGGGAGGCGACATCGCCTCTCCTCCATTCATTTTCAATGAGACATGCACGACAAAGCGATAATCGCGGGTCTCCCTCCTACCAAGCGAAACGCGAAAAATGTGCGTGTGAAATGTTGCGCTCGTGCACGTGTCGTGCACAGGCGACCCAGCGACGCGATCCCAGAAAGTTGAAACATTTTCAACTTTTCATCGCTGTCGCTCGGACGAGGACCAATCAACGGAGGTTTCATTCACTGACCAATGAGCGGACAGGATGCTCCGTACAACTCCGAGCAAACATGGAGGAGAAGTTGATTATTATTGTTTTATATAGTAAAATCAGAAGTAAGATTTCACATAACTCTAGCAGCACCTTGTGAAACATCATATCTACCACTTTTTTAACTCTGAACCGCTTAAATAACCTTAATTCCCTCCAACCTGACGCAGCCAAACAAAACAATGGAAGTTTCCATTTCGCCATGGAACAGAACGCATCGACGGCTTTGCCGCTGGCCGCTACCGCTGGCCGCTGCCGCTGGCCGCTGCCGCTGGCCGCTGCCGCGTGTCGCTGCCGCGTGTCGCCTCCCATGTGTCAGGTAATAAAAGCAACAGCGACGAATTTCGCTGATCGCGGTCGTTTGTCGCCTCCCGTGTGTCGAGCCCCTAACGCAGGCTGGGGAGACGTTTAAGCTGTTAGATTAAGGTGTTAGAAAGACGAACGCACTGCAAGGAGATACGGTTTGCTTACAGTTTTAATAAACGGACACTAGGGGGTGCTAAAAGCAAGCCAAAAGTGCCTAGTCGCCCTTTAGTTCCTTTGCTTCGCCGTAATGCCATCCATTGAATCTCAATCAGTTCAATTTATATTGAATTGTATTGTTGTAGCACGATCAAAGGATTAATCCCATTAATTCAGATTTAGCTGCTAGTGTGTCTTTAATGAATCAGATCATTTATCACATAGACCAGAGATGCACAGCTGTAATTGTCGAGGATCAGATGTCATGAAGGTGTAGTCTAGAAATGCATACCTACCTGATGGTCCTACATGATAGATTGCAGCCATTATCCAGACCATTTCTCGGCTCTTTCAATATTTTACACCTACACAGGTGTAGTGGAGATTACCTACCACACTTAGTTGTGTGCTTATAATCTTTTCGTTTACTCCTGGGAAGTTTTCTTGTTGCCTTCAAGGGTTCTGTATCTACCAGGTCTGAGTTTGGTGTCTAGCAATCACAGATACCCAACGATGTGCTAATATTTCTACTGATGATAACACAAATAGTTTGTTCTGTGGCGGACTCGTACCACATTAGTGCTGCTATGCTGGTAATAGAGTTAACAGCATCGGATGCGGGCATCATCCCTCCTCTCTCCTTAGTCAGGCTCCTCTAACAGCATTTTCCCTTTTATAACAACTCCCTCTCTCTTTGTGTACACGTCACACATCATTAGCCACATTCTCCCATGATGCTTTGAGAGCGTTCTTATTAAATTTGAGGTGTGTGATGAATCATCTCATCTCGCGGAATTTAGGCTCTCACCAGTTGGGATAATCTACCCTGACATTCCTCTGGCCGCTCTGGGAGATGAAGCAAAAGAAAAGTGGGAGAAAAAAGAAAAAAGGCACATGGATGGATTCTGAATAGAAAGCAGTTGCAGCATCGGACTGTTTTGTTGTGCTGGAGGCTTGTTTCTTATTGAGTGTGACCCCATTTCAAACACTCGACAGCCATCATCCTCTTCAGCACAGCTGTGGCACGTGGTTTAACTGGAGGCCAACTTCAGTCCCACTTACAAACCAACTTCAGACAGACAGGTTTGCAGTTTCAACGTTTCTCCACAAGAGTCAGACACACAAGTGACAAATAAACAGGATAGAGATGAAAATGCATGCCAGATAATATTAATATGTGTTGATGTTTGTTGTAAGAAGAGTAAAAAAAAAGTGTTTTAGAGATCTCACACACATTAAGGGAGGAAGAGTCATTGATGAGTTCAAGAACTGAAGGAGGAACTGAAGGAGGAAACTTTAGGGATTTTCCTGCAGCGTACTGTCATTAAACAGCTAATAGTCCATAAATCTGAACCATGAATGCTTTCACATTTCTTATTGCACGTCGGCTTTTGATCATTTTAGATCTTTTTATTTGTGCTTGGGGAAAAATGAGATGACATTGTGGAGGATAAAATCCTAGCAGCATATTTAGTCAGGCATAAACGCGAGACTCTGGCTAGGGTTAAAGATTCTGGGTTGTTTTAGCTGCATCTTTATGATCAATGCTGGCATTTTACATTGATTTACAAGAAATAGGACTCTTTGCAGCCCTCTGCTGAGATGGAGCAACACTCAGATCATATTTTTGATATGTAAAGGAAATAAAAACGATGGTAAATCTTCCAGTTTCTCAATGTTTTGTTTGTTATAGTTTATCTTGCTCTTTAGTTTTGGAGGAAAGGATTAGTTTTCCTGAATCCGCTGTGGACCCCACAGGCAGGAAGCATCATCTTGTTAAGTTTATTAAAGGATCTAACCACGACTTTAGTGTGGTATGTTTCACTAAAACAGCAGGAGTGGAGCCCCTGAGAGGATAGTCACTGGTTAGACCACAAATCCAAGAAAACATAAAAAAATAAAGCTCTGCTTGTTGAGCTTCAGCTGGGAGAACGTGTTGTGGGATTTCAGACGTTTGGCTCTTGGACATAATCTAAACCTCTTTTCCCCTTGGTGTTGCTTCACGATTCCCTCTGCACTGTAAAAATATGGTTGTTTCAGTGATGTTGACTCCGCAATTGATGGATGTGGCATGACATCACCGGGTTTGGAAGTGAGATCAGGACGTGTTTGGATAGATGCAGAACAGCGTTTTAGTGCATTCTTTTGGAGAACATGTGGCGAACACACCCAGCTGCCGATGTAGCCTGGGGATCCTTCTGAGCCTCCCTCTCTCTCCCTCCCTCTCTCTCTCTCTCTCTCTCTCTCCCTCCCTCTGTCTCTCTCCCTCTCTTCCTCTGTGTCTCTAACTCCCTCCCCCCGTGTCTCTCTCTCTGTCTCTCTGTCACTCTCTCTCTCTCTCTCTCTCCCTCTCTCTCCCTCTCTTCCTCTGTGTCTCTAACCCCCCCCCCCCCCCCCCGTGTCTCTCTCTCCATCTCTGTCTCTCTCTTCTCTCTCTGTCTCCCCCTCCCTCTGTGTCTCTCTCTCTAACTCACCCCCCCGTGTCTCTCCCTCTCTCCCCTTTCTTTCTCCATCTCTCTCTCGCTCTCTCCCTCTCTCTCTTCCTCTCTCCCTCTCTTCCATTTTCTCTCTCTCCCTCCCTCTCTCACATTCTCTCATGTCTCTTTCTCCATCTCTCCCTTGTTCGGTTCTCTTTTCTCCCATGTCTGCTCCAACTTTCGTTTTTTTCCTGCTTATCTTTTAAGCTCGGTGCTGATCAGCTCAGAAACTCCATGCGCCACGCAGATCCGTGCGCACACGTTGTGTTTAAAGTCGTTCATCCTAAAACACACTCCCTCTGTGAGTCTGTGCTTGTGTGACTCTCTTCCCTTCGCCTCTTGATTTAAGCCCTTCTGTTGTACGGTCTCAAGCGGAACAACACTCTTGGACTCGGGACAGCGTTCCTCAGTGATTAGTCATCCTCAGCTTGACCCAGTTTCAGGACTGCCTGTTCTGGAGCGGTGCTGTATCACATGTTTAAATCCTTACCCCCCCCCCCCCCCCCCCCCCCCCCCCCCCCCAGTGTCACACTCTTACCTCTGCTTCTAGTTTTTGGTGAAACACAAACATGATTCTGAGCTGTTTCCACTGAACCTCGTGACTGATCTGAATGTCCCTTTTTTGTTGTTTCCAGGGAGACATCCAGCAGCTAATGATTGTAGCAGACCACCGTGCTGCCTATGACTACTGTGAGCACTACAGTCATGATTGTGAAGTGGCAGCGCCGGAACAGCCACAAAATCAGGACCCCAAAGTCGACAACTATGTGAGTTGACTTCAGATGTTCATTTCACTTTTTACCACAGCTCCGTGAACCTGCGGCTGCTCACTATTACTTCTTGAGGTGAATTTGATGGATTTGTTTCAATAATATTGTAAACAACCAGGTACCAATCCTCTGGCTGACCTCAGTCTTTTTCTGCAGTTGTTTCCAACACTTTAAATCAGATTCCTGTTGGTTCCATTGCTAACATAGCGCCTCTTGGCTCACGCAAGAGAACCACAGTCTTGCCAGAGAAAATGCTGAGTGAGAGGAACAGGATTATCAGGCGGTTCAGTTAGTCAGTAACGCTCAGAAACAACGCTCGCCTTTCTGCACCGTGTGCTGTAGCTCACCTTCTTGACCTATCACTTTGCCTGGGGCCTACAGGGTGCACACACGCTGATTTCCCCCCGTCCTTTCTGGAAACAAATGACAGACTCATTAGGAAAGCTGTGAAAAAGTAATTAGTTATTCAGGTGCTGCAAGTTAGAGCAGGGAGCTACAGCGGGAAGTGTTTGCAAGGAGAAAGCACTCCTGCAGGGATCTGATTGATGGCCAGCCAGCCAGCCAGCCGTGGATCATATTTTTAAAACATCATCTTGTTAATTGTGGATTGTTATCTCTGTCTGTCACACCTTTTTAGTGTCAGTGTATTGTTTTTTTGTAGGAGCAGTACTATTATGAATACCCTTATTATGACGACAATGAAGGAAAGCCCTTTGAGTCGACAGCTGAAACCGAGACTATCGCAAAAGACGTCAAGGTAAGCTGGTCCGTAAAAGTGACATTTTTGTCATTTCCATGTCTCAACAAACATATTTTCTATTTAACCTGTTGGAAAAAAAGCTTCCTGAATGGCCTTTGTTCGGAGAAAAAAGCTCTAGACTGATAAACTAATCGCTGATCCAGTTGCAGCAATCTTCAGAAGTATACGTCATACTTTATTTCGCATCAAACAGAAATTTGCACGTCATTTAATGAATTATTGCAAGCGTACGTATCAGACGATAAAAAGTCCAAGAATTAATCCAGCAGGAAATTCTTTTATTGTTTTGGCAAAAATAGCTATTTTATGCAAAATTGAAATCAAACATAAACTGTATTTCTTGGCGTGCCGCCAGTAACGTAACAGTATAAGTATTTATAACTACTACGCTGAACTACGCTTCAAATAGGCCAAACTATCCATTTAAATTAGGCCAGGGGCGGCGTTAGGCCCGGCTACTTGGGCTGAAGCCCCGGATGTTTCATGGAAAGCCCCAGATCTAAATCGCGGAAGTAACATGCAGTACCAAAGTCCAACAGAGAGGGAGCAGCTGGCAGTAGTTTGTATACAGCCTGCCTGAGCCTCCACCACTGAAGAAGAAGCCCTTCAGCAGCCGGCTTCTTCTGCAGTCTCTGCCTGAAACGCACGAGTGAAGATGGACATAAGGACGTTTTTTAGACCAAAAGTAACACGAAAGAACCCCAGCTTTGATGAGACTGGTGTTGACTCAGGTTTGTGAGTCTTATTTGAAAATATTTGTTGTGCTGCTGGTTTGCCTAAAGTTAGCTTACTATCAGGTAAAGTTGTTGGAGAAAGAAAGGGAATATTTACTATCATCTCACACTAAACACTAACAGGAACAATACTCTGCCCTGAAAATGCTTAATATGTAGCTTCAGATTAAAAATTATGTGGTACAAGACATATATGATGTTGACTAGTGCGTGTCACGTGTGTGTGCGTGCGCGTGCATGTGTGCGCGCGCGTGTGTGTGTGTGTTTTAAGCCCCGGATCTTCTTCAGTCCTAAATCCACCCCTGAATTAGGCCAAAAACAGAAGAGAGTAGAAAAGAAAAGTAATATTTAGATTAAACCCCCTAGAACATTTAGTAACAGCATCCTTTGGACATTACAGGTGACAGGTGATGGCACTGTGACCACAGTAGAAGAAGTCGTAAGAGGTCGTTCTGATGCTGCTGGCTCCAGTTCTGTCTCCACCAGCTCATCATCCAGCTCATCATCCAGCTCATCATCCAGCTCATCATCCAGCTCATCTCGTGGATCCTCAGTGACTGGCGCTGGAAAAGAGGACACCTACCGAGAAGAGACCACTAGTTACGATGACTATGACGCCTATGGTAACTATTACGACGAGGCCACGCCCGCACCTGGCAGGGACACCACTCAACGCATCACCATCAGCAGCATCGGCACTGGGGGTGAGCTGGACTTGGGAGCAGGGGCGAGGGTCGACCTGGAAGCTGGCTCAGAAATTGACCAGAAGGTGATCACCATTGGTGGAGGGACCACGACAACAATCATCACAAATAAAACAACAGTGAGTTACGCTTCCACCTCGTTTGTGGGTTATTGGGACTTGTGCATGAAATGACTGTGTTATTGGGAAGAGGGAGATTTCCTTTCCTGGTGTGTGTTTATGGTTGTGTATTTGGCTTTTATCAAAAGCGACTTACAAAGAAGAGGTGTGTTCATGACCCACGGACCACTGATTTATAAATGAACCTTCTGAAAATATACTTTCAAAGGACAAATTATTGAAGAAACCAATTTGAAGTAATCCAGTTGCACATCGACAACTGACTAACTTCAGCTGTCTTCAAATTTAGGGGTAGCATTGTTGTGAGGACTCGTCCAACCCGGTCAGTGTAGGCTTTGTCTGGGTTGTTTGTCATTTGTGTCCGACTCTAACTCTACATGTATCTTGTGACATTGAATCTCAATAACAACATCTTTGCTTTTGTAGTTGGACACCTCCTACAGTGACTACGGCAATGGATATGACTATGGAGTGGACGACTACTACACAAATGGTGCCGGAGGAAGCAGCAGCAGTGTTTCACCTGGAGGTGGTTCCGTCTCTGTCGGCGGTGGGTCTGCCTCTGTCGGCGGTGGGTCCGTTTCTGTCGGCGGTGGGTCTGCCTCTGTCGGCGGTGGGTCTGCCTCTGTCGGCGGTGGGTCCGTTTCTGTCGGCGGTGGGTCTGCCTCTGTCGGCGGTGGGTCCGTCTCTGTCAGTGGTGGTTCCGTTTCAGTTGGAGGGGGTTCAGCATCCGTGGGTGGATCTTCTACCTCCGGCGGCAGCTCAGCCAGTGCCGGCACCGGAGCCGGCGGGTCCATTGCAACTGAGACCAGCCAGGGCATAGGAGGAGAGGGCGACTACCCAGATGTCGATAAGTTCAAAGAAGAGGACATCTCTGAGTACGGCGATTTGGAAACTTATAACTATGATGATTACCCCGACATCAAGGACAAAGTGCTGCCCGCTGAGACCAACGAGTACTTTGGGCAGGTCAGAAATAAAGCTTAGACTTGCTACTTAACCCTCCCACTGTCCTAATGGGTGTGACCCTGCGAGGAGAGTTGACCAACTTTCCTCGCAGGGTCACACCCATTAGGACAGTGGGAGGGTTAAAGAACGACAGGTGGAAAAGTTCTGGCTCATATTGTGCGTCTGCTTGCTGCGTAGGTCGACGGAGCTCGTGGTGAGAAAGGACAGAAGGGAGAGCCTGCTGTTATTGAGCCTGTGAGTATCTCTATTTGAACAACGCACTCGAGCAGCAGATGCAAGCTGTGTCCATGCACAGTTTGAAGATGCATGCACGTATGTGCGATCCACATGTAAACACAACTCATCCCTGACTTTGGAACGATAATCGTCACGTCAAACGTGCTCGTTTGGGTTCACTTCCTCCTGCGCACGGCCTCAGTCTTGTGGCTGTTTATCGGGACCAGAACGTAAACATTTGGAGAAAGGCCATGAAAGGATTGTCAATAATCTCCAAACACTGGGTGGGAAGTATGTAAACATAAGAGGAGGGATGGAAAGGGGGAAGGAACACGACTAGGAACAAAAGAGAGAATGAATGACTTTTCTTGCTTTGCCTAATAACAAACAGGTGAAACAAGCACAGCTTTGATCCAGAGTCACACACTCATGTGAGGATCTGTAAAGAAGAGTCATTTGGTAGATTTGGAATTGTATATCCTGCACAGACAGGATTAATATCCCTAACAGACTCACAGCTGTTTCACATCAAACAAATGCCCCAGCAAGTATGTACCCCTCCACGACCGAATGTGTGTTTAAACGTAGAAACGGGAAAAAGAAAAATGTATTTTAACTTAACTGGAGGACCCAGAGTGCTTCTTGTCTCTTGGGAACACGTGAAAAGTTGAGACACATGTTCCCACATTCATACATGAGGAAACAAACAATCATGTTTTTGTCTCGTCTTTGCCAGCTTGCATTCTTGCAGCTGAAACTCAGGCAGGAAGTGTGTATTTTTAGACAGTTTTACTGTTCAGATTGAGAATGTTCAGGCAGCAGCTGGGGACAAACCATTTCAAATAATAAAAGTGATTACCTTTGTTAACCCTCCCACTGTCCTAATGGGTGTGACCCCGCGAGGAAAGTGTACCATTGAGCAGGGTTGATGGTTTATCCCTTGGGTCCACGTGGCAGGGGTGAGGAGTGAGCACCACCTCACCCGTGCCACGTGGACCTCAAGGGATAAACCATCAATGCTTTTTTCCCGCTCTGGTTGTGAGATGGGCGGAGCGGTGAGCTCCACCTGCTGTTGATGGGACGGGCATGCCCGGTTCTCCCAGAACCGTGAGCTGCGGCTGCGCGCGCCACCAAAATGACATGCTTTATTTAGTAATGCAGCCGTGTCGCAGTCGCCAGCCGATGTTGACCGAGCTTCGGTCCCGAATGTTTCTCTTTTGTTTTCACTCGTCAGCCACGGATCGCTCGCTCACAGCAAGCTGGGCTTCCTACCGTGGTGACTCACTCACACGTTCCCTCTCCTACATTAGTTGGTGACGTAGTGAATTAAAACATTAGGATTCCTAATGTTTTAATTCACCACTTCACCAGTGTGTTTGTCCTGTTTGTGAGACGAACCCCTCCTCCATAACCAGGTTACTGGTGCGGAAGCCTGGATAGGCCAAAATTCCTCCAACTTTTTTTTCTACTGCTGATATGAATTACATGTGATAGAACAGAGTAAATGTCGTTAGTCCCACAGTGGGGACATCCACTCATCACAGCAGCACACACACTTGGAGACACAGATTACAGTCAAACTGATTCCAGCCATGTTTGCTTTGATAACTTCAATAACTTCATGCTGATGAACACATGAACATAATCCTGGTTAGTGGATGCAATTACATCATGAAGTTAGCTTAACATGATAGACATTTTTTTTCTTGGCAGGAAATAATAACAAGTAATATTATGAATGACCTGACCTTGCCCACCCCCTAATTAAACGTTCCTGTGTGACATTTGTGACACTTAGCTGTAACTCTACTGCTGATAGATAGATAGATAGATAGATAGATAGATAGATAGATAGATAGATAGATAGATAGATGATAGATGATAGATAGATAGATAGATAGATAGATAGATGATAGATAGATAGATAGATAGATAGATAGATAGATAGATAGATAGATAGATAGATAGATAGATAGATAGATAGATAGATAGATAGATAGATAGATAGATAGATAGACGGACGGACGGACGGACGGACGGACGGACGGACGGACGGACGGACGGACGGACGGACGGACGGACGGACGGACGGACAGACAGACAGACAGACAGACAGACAGATGATAGATGATAGATAGATGGACGGACGGACGGACGGACGGACGGACGGACGGACGGACGGACGGACGGACGGACGGACAGACAGACAGACAGACAGACAGACAGACAGACAGACAGACAGACAGACAGACAGACAGACAGACAGACAGACAGACAGACAGACAGACAGACAGACAGACAGACAGACGGACGGACGGAGGGACAGATAGATAATATGAAGAAGTTCAGGAGAGTTGGATGTAAAATTTTCCTCACAAAAAGAAAATGTGTATTAAACGAAGGTAAGTTACAGGACTTCTGTAAAGTCAGAGGTACGGAAGATGATTAGGGCCACTGAAAAGGAAAAAAGAAAAGAAGCAGAATTCTGACTTTTTCCCCAGAATTCCCTGTCAGAATTCCGAGATTAAAAGTCAGAATTCTGAGAAAAAAGTATGAATTCTCTTTCTTTTCTTTAGTTTATTATTATTTTCCCTTGTCAGTGGCTCTAATCCTCTTCGGTACAGAGTAGCCCCCACCCCCCCACTCTAAACGGTTGGCGAATTGTCCGCTCCCAACCCCATGACCGCGTCTCACTCTTTGAAATGTGCAAAAGTTGGCAGCCCTGAACCACGCAAAAAAATCTTTACCCAAGGGTTGCTTCTCTTAACTGAAGTTTTTTATAAATGTTTTATTCCCATAGGTGCAATATACAGAAATTAATATTACACGCATGCTAGCATCCCGCTTAGCTATTAGCCTAGTTAGCATGTGTACACTGTTTGCATTCTGTCAGCCAAGTATGTTTAACAAAGGTCCAAACACTCCACAAACAAAAACAAAGATGAATGTTCTCAAGGCACAAATGTATAAAGCACATTTATCATGTTTGTGAGTCGTTTGCTCTCTCATTTCTGCCTAAATGTAAGCGAAAGAAAGGAACAAAAACACGTCAGGGATAGGTCTGAGGTGAGAGCGCCCACTCTGTCGCGTTTCTGGACAGACGATACAACAAAGATTGTTTGTAACAGCTATGTCTGACTTTGATCTGTTTTCAAAACCCAAAACATTTTACCATTTTTAACATGAATTTACCTGTAATATTAATTAACTTATTAATCTAACTCATTCCCATCATGAACTGATAAATTATGTTTGGTCTATAGGCGCCGCAGAGCTTTTGTCAGGATTATCTCAGGGAGAACGCCATTCAGCTGCTGTTGGAGACAAAATAAAAATGACACGTTTACCTATTACTAACTTTAATTGAAGTAGTTGCTATTTAGTTTTTTCTCTTTTTTATTAGGGGGGCACCCCGCATATATCGGTATCGAAAATAAAGATTTTGAGAATATCAGTATGTCGCATATCGGTAAAAAAATATCCAATATCAAGCATCCCAAGTGATCAGCATATGAGGGTCAGGTGTAAGGCGCTGGACGCCACAGGGCACAGGAGAACAACAATGTGACATAAAAGTCGAGGTTTCCTGACAAACGAATGGTCGAACCTCTGCTTGTCTTTTGCTTCGTTAGCTGTCGTTCACACTTCTCCTCCCAGGATTAAATGGAAACATACCTGAAAGACAGGCAGGAATATATGCTGTTAGCAGGGCAGGGCGTTGGATGGGAAGGCGTGTTGAGGCGTGTTTCAAGTCTATATTTACCTCCTTTCACCAAGTCTCAGTGCACAATGTGGCATTGTTGAACAAAGACACGTGCTTCTGGATGAGGTCACCCTATTGTTGTGTTGACTTCTGTCTCATATGTGTGTGTGTGTGTGTGTGTTTTAGGGAATGCTGTTGGAGGGTCCGCCTGGGCCTGAGGGACCAACAGTAAGTCATCCTGTCAGACTCTCCTCACATCCTCGTTAAGTTCATAACTCGTCCCGCATGCGACTTTTTCTTTTTAGTGACTTTATTCAGATTTGAACTTCGGCTAACTTGAATGAACATTTGGAAGATTTTTCACTGCTGACACCGTACAGACGGTGTCCTCTGTTGACACGATGAGCTATAGTGTAAACAAATAAAGACAATGGGAAGGATTTGCAGCTGGAAAAGAATTCCCGTTTTCCCACATACATTCCTTTCCCCTGTGTGTGGCCATGCTGCAGTGGTCTTCTAAACAAATGGAAATCAAATAACATCTTCTGTTCAAAATAGGGTCTTCCTGGACCCCCAGGTCCATCTGGCCCGCCAGGCAGTACCGGAGATCCTGGTGAACGGGTAAGAGAAACGTTATTACCATTAAGAATTCAAGTGCTCGTGAAGTGATCTGTGTGCGTTTCTGTGTTTGTGCTCATACACGCGCTGTTTTCCATTTAAGGGTCTTCCGGGTCGAGCTGGTCTTCCTGGGGCTGATGGTCTGCCAGGACCCCCTGGAACTGTCCTGATGCTGCCTGTAAGTAAATAAAATAGTTGCTACAGTAGAATTGAAATAGAGGAGTTGTCCTTTTCGTGTTAAGGGCAGAACCTCTGGACCATGACTTTATGTGGTTGTTTAGTCATAAAAAAGTCAAGTTTAAGGCGTCTTTTCCTGGTTTATCAGTAAGTGTGACACGTGTTTTACACGGTGTACTGGGAGGAGGGGGATTTCCGATGAAAACATCTGCAACGAGCCTCTGTCATGTTTAGATCCTCGCTGGTGCTTTAGCGACCGCTTGTGGTGACTCAGTGAGCCCTTTCCCTTTGAAAGATCTGAAATCTGTGTTTTGTTGTCCTCGTCTCTACCTCTCAAAGTTACCTGACGTTCTGAAGTCCGAGTTTTAGCTGTCAGGCATCTTTCCAAGAAGCCGGCTGACTTTCAACAGGAACCAACATAATTCGCCCGAGTCTCACTTTAGCCACCGCTGCATCCCAACTGCAACAGACACCCAACTGTCCTAATGGGTTCCTACGGTGTCTACCTTTCTGTCCCTCCTGCTTGTACTTGGAGATGCCCTTGGATCCGATTAGTTGTGCAGATGTGAAGCTGCGGTTTCAGTGGTTCACAGATCTGTTTGGCAGAGCCATGTGGCAAGCTCTGTCTGGACGGTGACTCAACTTGTTCTGGTGTATCCGCTGGCAGGGAGCTTGAAATGTGACGCTGGCGCTCAGAGGCTAATGAGAAACAGGCGTCGTTGCTTAATTTCATCAACAGACATTTTGGCTTTATTTTGTTGACACCAAGGAACTGAGTGATGCAGTCAGATGGTCTAATGGTGGAGAGGAAGCCTTTTTTCTCTGTCATTTGTTTCAAATGTTTGATTAACCAGAATATGAAGTCATGAATCGATGAAGGTTTGATTATGTCAGTAGGGAGTATCAACAAAGAAATCAGTAGAAGGAAGAGCTGGAGGCCAAAATTAGACAGAACTTATAGCCAAAGGGAGGAGCATCAAGAGAATGAAGTCAACATTTTAACTAAATGAGCAGAAAATTCAGTTTTAGCAGTGGCGTGTCCAGATCTTTTAAAATGGGGTGGCCCATGTGAGGCACTACTTTGTGCACGGGTGGCACCAACGGTAATGCTTTTTTTTTTTTTTTTTTTACCTTAAGCCTTTTGTGGACAATGAAAACCCAATTTAAAGGGAATTCAGTGTGGTGGCACCTGGGGTGGCCAATCCAATTCCAAGGGTGGCATTTGCTACCCCCAAGCCACTCCCTGGACACGCCCCTGAGTTTTAGACTACAGGGTTAGGGTCAGTGGAGGGCATGGATGGATGCACTACATGTTCTCAGAAATGACGTTTTTAGTTGCAGCAGACTTGACGCAAGGCTTTTGTTCTGAATGTTTATATTTTGTGTCTTAGTAACAACGATTGGACAGTATTTCACATTTAGTTTTCGTTTTGCAAATGTGTCTTCCCGAGAAATCCGCCATATAATCAAACCCAACATTTCTGGCTGTCAAAAACACAAACTGCACCCCAACTCTGCATTTTCACGCTTGGTGCAAAGCTCAGCGGTGACCACCAGATGGCAGCAGCATTTGTACCTTGAGTCTCTCCATTAGCCACTGATGTTTCCTGTTTGACAGCAAGAAGCTGATTCTTATTTCAGCATCTGATATTTTTTAAATGTAAACAATAATTAATAATATTTCCCCCTCTCCACATTCTGGAGTTGGTTCATCTTATTAAAACTGGTTTCATGTTTTCGTCTGTGAAGGATCAAAACGCTCTGGTTCTCTCCACAGTTCAGATTCAGTTCTGGAGGCGACTCTGGACATAAGGGACCAGCTGTATCGGCACAGGAGGCTCAGATGCAGGCCATCATGCAGCAGGCCAGGGTAACAAAACCCTAGAAACGCACCAAAGTGGACAATATTAATAGTTTTCATGTTTTACTCTGATCTCTAAACCACAGATCCGGGATTAGTTTGTTAATTTTCACGTGTTTTGAGAATAATTAAAAAAATATATTGTTATTATCCTTCAGTTCAAGACATTTCACAGTCAAAACCAACTTTTTTTTAACTTGTTATATTTTGGATTAATTTGTCTTTATGCTATGTTTAGCTGGCCATGCGTGGCCCCACTGGTCCGATGGGTTTGACTGGGAGAACCGGCCCTCTGGTGGGTATAATAAACGCGTCACACAAACACTTAAATGACTGTTTTAGTTTTTACAGCCTTTAAAACTATTTTATATGTGCTGAAAATGTCAGATTTCCATTTGTGTTGGTCAGTTCTTTTTTTGGGGGGACTGTTGAAATTAATTATTTAATTATAATTTTTATTAATATTATCTCCTAGGGTCCACCTGGTGTCCCAGGACTGAAGGGAGAATCCGGAGAGGCCGGACCTCAGGTACCACTTGTCCAAATGTTGCTCTTTGAATCGTTTTCAAATCAACTTTATCCAAACGACACTCTGAACATGTTTACGAGGAACCAGATGATTTTTTATAGCTTGACTTAACTTGCCATCACTCTTCTATTTCTTTGGTTTCAGGGACCGCGTGGACCTATGGGATCTTCTGGACCCATTGGAAAGCCGGGCAGACGGGTAAATCCTAACCAACATCATTTCCTAAATGAATATTTATGTTTGTGAGTCCTAGTTTCTGAAATTGTTGATTGAACAGGGTCGTCCTGGAGCCGACGGTGCCAGAGGAATGCCAGGACAGACTGGACCTAAGGTGCTTAACCTTCTACGTTTGATAAACGGTGACCCCGGAGCTTAAGTGCACGTTCTGACCTTATTTCCAACTTCTCAGGGTGACCGAGGGTTCGATGGTCTGGCTGGACTTCCTGGTGAAAAGGGACACAGAGTGAGTTGGGTTCTTTATGTGTTTATGTTTCTTATATCAGCAACAGTTTTCACTCATGCTTGTGTTTTCCAGGGAGAACCCGGCCCCCACGGACCTCCGGGGGCTCCTGGAGAAGACGGAGAGAGGGTAACAGCACCTCATTTTGCTTCATCAGCCTAAGAGATGGAGATCTGATGCGTCCTCTCCACTGGCTGTGTTTGTTTTTATTCCTGAGTCGAACCATCTGCTCCCAAGATCACCTCTTTGTCCAAATCTGACATTCTCTTCCTCTCGTTATTCCTATTTTCTTACACCATTTCCATTTCTCTCATGGTTTCTAATCATCTCCTCTCCACCCGTTTTTGTTTCCTCCCGAATCTCCGTGACCCACATGTTCCAACTTCCTCCTCCATTATCATTCACCGTGGCTACCATGGTCTGACCCGCTCCATCTCTTTCACAGGGCGATGATGGAGAGATCGGACCCAGGGGACTTCCTGGCGAACCGGTGAGTGACAGCGTGCATTTTCATTCAGTCGACACACAGCGACTGTGTGGTAGAGGAGAGTGCTCAGGACCTGCTGTCATCGTGTGATTGTGTTAGCTTTGCGATGATATCACCTGCAGACTGAGATTTTTATGCTGCAGCAGTGTGTGTGTGTGTGTGTGTGTGGTTGTCAGGCTTTGCTTGTGCTTCATCTTTATCTGGAGGTGAGAAAAGCTGGCAGCCTTCATCACGACTGTTAGAATAGCCTCCCACTCGCTCTCGGGAAGGATATTCACTACACACACAGAGAGAGAGAAAAAACCCCACAAAAGGATGGCGAAACCATCAAAATCCTCCTGACAGCTCCTGTTATGAGTTATTTCGTCCACCAGGGTGTGCAGCGTTGATTTGGATTCGCACTGGCAGGACGATGCATCTGGTGAAATAACTCGGGGCTGTGAGGCGTAGCACGAAAACTCAGAGCATGGTTTGGTAGTGTGTGGAAATGGAAGGTTATTTCCAGGAGTATAAATTTAAAACTTGATTTAGCTGCTTAATTATTCATCACTCCTCTCCCAGGTGGAACATCACTCTCAATCTCATTTCCTTTGTTATATTTTTTTTCTAGGGACCCCGAGGGTTGCTGGGACCAAAAGGACCTCAGGGACCCCCTGGACCACCAGTGAGTCCAGTTCTACCCTCCTGACCCCTTTTTTCAAATTCACACAGATTTACTTATAAAAGGAATTTTTACCTTTTCTTGTGCCGTCAGAACAAAATACTCCACAGGCGCAGCTCCCACAGAGAAATACAAAATTAAAAACATCTCAGGCTAAATGTGCAAAAAGCAGCACTTTATTGTCCTGAACTATAGAAAAAGTGGACTAAAGTGTGGGTTGGTCGATAAATGGATCTGCCGATACATTAGACCAATATTTATCAAATTTTATATATTTTGCCAAATGGTGGATATGCCTCTTAAAAAGCCAATTTAGGGTCAGGCACATTTCTGGGCAGCTAGGTGCTTCTGTAGAGTTTAATTTAAATGTATATTTACGTTCCTGAATAACATCTGCATTATAAATGCCCTAAACAACAATTTTATTTACCACTTTTGAATATTTAATACTCAGCCAGTTAACTGATTTGTCTGATTAACTTTCGTCAGATGTCTGATTTTAATACTGAGCAGTGCTCATCAATAAGATTTAACAGCTGGTAAAATTCAGTGTTCAAAAGCAGATTCAGCTTCAGGTGTTTTAGCATCAACTGTCGTTAGTGATATTTTAGCATGCAGGTTAGGTGGACAAGTGTTCATGTCTGCCGTGAAAATCAGCCCAAAAAGCTGGCAGCACAAATCGGCCGCCGGCCGAACATGGCCGCTACGTATCTGCATCGGCAATAGAAGAAACAATATCGGTCCACTTCTAAACTGAAGCTTACCCCAAATGAATAAATAATGAGATTAATAAAAGCATTTGGGTGCTTTTATTATTGGTGTGGACATTGAAGGATTAATTGTGTGTTCTGTGTGTCTGCAACAGGGTGTCACTGGGATGGATGGCCACCCTGGACCCAAAGGAAATATAGTAAGTGAAGACAGAGCTGATTACACTCCTGATCATCAAATCTACGGAAGAGCTCTCTTGAGCCCACACACACACACACACACACACACACACACACACACACACACACACACACGCACACACACACACACGCGCGCACACACACGCACACACACACGCACACACACACGCGCACACACACATCAGAGAATACAACCCTGACCAGATGTGCCATTCCAGCTCTATCGCTGCCCGTTCCTGGCTGTAATGAGAGAATGTCTAAGTGGAGCAGCTTGTTTTCTCTTTTGGGAATCTTCCAACAAGGTAGCGATGGAAGAGCAACAACTTTCCCAGACTCCTGCTCTGAGGCTGCATAATTGATAGCCAGTTATTCCAGAGGGAAGGTGTTTTGTGTTTGTGGTTCAGCAGTTTTCATCATTAGGGGAGTAGGTGTGAGGATGTGGACTGTGGATGCATGTGTGTGTGTGTGTGTGTGTGTGTGTGTGTGTGTGTGTGTTACAGTCATGGTTTGTTTTGCCCAATATTTAGATTTAGAAAATGCATTATTTCAAAAATCGTTCTGCAGCTAACGAGGTTTCTAAAGAAATAACCTTCTTTTCCAGGGACCTCAGGGCGAGCCAGGACCTCCTGGACAGCAGGGGAACCCAGGAGCTCAGGTTGGTGATGAACAGACATTTGATTTATTTTTCCTCGTGAATCAAAGAAAATGCTCAGAACGTGCACTTGTTTCCACAGGGACTCCCAGGGCCGCAAGGAGCCATCGGACCTCCAGGAGAGAAGGTAACACATCCTGAATGTATAATTCCCACGAGGAGAAAAAAGAAAAAGGAGCGGTGCCAGCATGATAAAATGTTAATAAATGCAGACCCTAGAATCTGTAAAATAGCAGGGATTTGTTTCATTCATTTGCATGAGCAGAAAGCCAAGTCTGCTATCTCATTCAGCCCAGATGCTCATCACACCATTATGCTAACACGTCTCCATCCCCAGCATAGAAATACCGCCTCATAGACAGAACCGGCAGATTCAAAACCTGATTCATTTAATCCAATTACTCCTAAAGCACATTTATTGGCTTACGTTGGAGATGTTCTTTGAATTATTGAAGAGCTCAGATTTTAAAATTAATGATGTGGCTCTTAGAAAAAGATTAAAAGACTGCCTTTTCCAATGAAGTGTAAACAGGAAGAAGTCAAAAGGCTAGATAAATAATTAGTTGTTTTAATGTAGCGGGTTAGCTAAATAATCAGAAGCTTGAAATATTATTACAAAAATTCATGCTTTGTTTTGAAAGAATAATTTACCAGGATTTAGCCTGAAGACAGAACAAAAGGCATAAAAATAAGCACATGGTCTCTTACCCTAATGATTGTTTAGCTGTTGCTGTTATTAACAGCATTTATGCCGCTTTATTTATTCAGTATTTTGGGGCCATTTAATTATTCATAGTGATTTCTACATTTTATACACATTTGTGGTCATCAGAGGATAAAATTGGTCATTTGTGACCCACTTAATATGTTTCAACTTGCTCCATAACATGTATTTTTTCAGATTTGAGGATGATATAACTCCTACATTTGTATTATGTACAGTTTGATTATAGAGATTTTGTAATAACTTCCATTTGTTATTGCCTATGTGCAAAAACCAAAAGAAGGGCAATATCTTTTTTTTGAGTGTTTGTGTTAGCGATGTGACCCCCCCCCCCCCCCCCCCCCCGAGGCTGGTACGATTCACATCTCCGTACACCACAAGCGATACGATACGTTAATCCCTCTGCTGATACGATTCATTAAAAGTTTGACAAATTCATGATGTCATTTGAAACGACTGGTTTTTAAACATCACTATTATTTTTCTCTCGCTCTTTCTCTATGAAGGATGTATTTAATCCTCTATTAAGTTTAGATTAATCAATGTTCATCAGTGTTCACAAAAATTCTCCTTCTGAGTTTAACATGCAGGCTGAATGTGAAAATAGTCTTCTACCCGTTTCCTGCATTAGCCGCTGATAGAAGATAGACAAGGAAACGCTCAGGTCAGAAAAAAAACACAGATCTACGTCACCCTGTAAAATTAACATTCATGGACTCACCCACCTTGGAGACCAGGGAATGTTGTTTTTGATTTTGCATCCAGGAGAGAGCAGAGCACGTGTTGGCTAGTAGAAGCTAAGAGTTAGCATTAGCAACTCCACAACAAGGCGCTCGTGTTACTAGTGGAGATTACTAGTGGAGATACATAATCATACATTGCAGAATGAAGAAGAAGAAGAAGAAAGTATCATTTCTATAGCACCTCTCAAGATAAAAATCACGAGGCGCTTCACAAAAACAAAAAATGTAAAAATATAAAAAAGCATTTAGAAAATGTTGAAAAATATATTTAAAATAAGCAAAAATAGGCAATTGTGATTAAAAATGTTAAGAAAGAGAGAGAGTGAATAGGAAAGAGGGGAATCAGTGGATCCTGAGGAAGGTGGAATAGGTGGGGAGAGCAGAATAAAGAGAGAGTGGTGAAGAAGGTCATACAAAAGCCAGCTTGAACAAGTGAGTCTTCAGCTGCTTTTTAAAGGAGACCACTGAGTCCACTGATCTCAGGCTCAGGGGGAGAGAGGTCCAGAGTCTGGGGGTCACAGCAGCAGATGATCTGTCACCTTTGACCTTTAGCCTGGTGCTGCACAACCAGTAGGCTTTGGTCACTGGACCTCAGGGACCTGCTGGGGGTGTAGGGACTAAGAAGATCACCAATGTAAGATGGTGCTTGTCCATGTAAGGCCCTATAGACCAGAACCAGGATCTTGAAATGAACCCTGAAGTTGACTGGCAGCCAGTGAAGCTGGAGGAGAAGCGGGGTGATGTGGGTGTGTTTGGAGGACTTGGTCAGAAGCCGAGCACAGGCGTTCTGAACCACCTGTAGACGGTTCAGGGAGGTTCTGCTCAGACACGTGAAAAGAGAGTTACAGTAGTCTAAGCGTGAGGAGATGAAGGTGTGGAGAACTGTCTCAAGTTCAGAGCGGGACAGAATGGGACTCATCTTAGCAATGTTCCTGAGATGGAAGAAGGAAGAGTGAACAAGAGAACTGAAATGAGAATCCAGGGTGAGAGCTGGGTCAAAGGTCACATCAAGATTCCTGATGGAAGGTTTGGTGTGAGAAGCAAGCTGACCAAGAGAGTCTCTGACTTTGGGAACCAGCTTGTCTGGGGCACAGATGAGGATCTCAGTCTTATCTTCATTCAGCTGAAGAAAGCTCCCACCGTCCAGGCTTTGATGGAGTCTAAAAGGAGGCAGTGGAAGATTCCATTACTGTTAGCCAATCAGAGGGCCAGATGTTCGCTTTTCATGGAAACTAACGAGTTAGATGGCAAAGTGCTGCCATTTTCTGTCCCCCACTCCTCTGATTTGACCATCATAAATCATTTCATCATTTCTTACAATCACATTTTAGTTAAAGTTAAAAGGCGACAGATATGCACTCCTTCTAGTAAGGCGGGGCCTTTTATCTCTTCTGTATTAAAAAACACCCACAGCATGTCGCACTGTCGTGATGTCTGCCAACACCAATTAGTTTTTGTTGTAGACCAAATATTGTTGCAGACATTTGTGAGACATATTTGATAGCTTCATGTTCTTTTTTGATGAGGCGTCATTTTCTGACTAACGTTTTGTTTTTTTGTCAAGGGGCCAACTGGAAAGCCAGGCTTGCCAGGAATGCCGGGAGCCGACGGCCCTCCGGTGAGTTGATAAAACACGATTCTGTCGTTTATTTTTTCTGTCTTTGCTTTTGACACAATTTAAACCTGTGAAATAAATGAAAGCATTTTCATATCAGTTCAACATAATTTACTATAAAAACATGGAGGTTGTTATTTGTGTGAAACATATGTGGGATCCAACACCTTAAGTTAGACGTGTAACACGCACGCACGCACACACACACACACACACACACACACACACACACACACACACACACACACACTTGAGAGTGCTTTGAATGCAAACATTCTTTTTCACATGGAAGACAGCAAAGACACCTGCACCGATCACAGATGTTTCCTAAGAAGCAGCAGGTGCCACCAAAGAGAGATACGTAGAAGATGGTGATAGACGGCATTTAATTCAATTCAATTCAGTTCAATTCAATTCAAGTTCAATTCAAGTTTATTTATATAGCGCCAAATCACGACAAGAGTCGTTTCAAGGCACTTCACATAATAAGCATTCCAATTCAGGTCAGTTCATTAAGCCAATCAGAAATAATATTTCCTGTATAAGGAACAAATTGCAACTAGTGTCAGTGACTTGATGCAATCCTCATACTAAGCAAGCATAACGCGACAGTGGAGAGGAAAACTCCTAGCCTGGCAAGCCAGACTAAATACATGTATTATTTAGTCTGGCCACGCTCCATTGACGGCTCTCGGTTGTGGGGCGGGTTCTACCGTTGTCTTTCAAATGATGTCCGCATTCCACTGGACAATGAATGTGACATCCTCTTGTTTCACTCTGTTGCATCATCCCACCCACCAGGCATATAGAGTGCCCTGATTGGCCCACAAAACAGATAAAGCTCTGTGATTTGTTCCCTAAGCAGATAGAGCACTATGATTGGCCCACCATTATGGACCAATCACAGCTCTTTATGTGTTTGAAACCCCTCTAGAGAGCTGTGATTGGCCAGCCAGAGTCCTGGTAGGAGCTGCGAGGTTCCAATGGAGCATGCCTAGACCATTCTTTGTAAAGAAAGAATTTGATCTAGTTCACTAGGCTAGAAAACTCCCTTTTAACAGGAAGAAACCTCCAGAGAATCCTGGCTGTCGCCAATTTACCGTCGAACACAACTCACTCCGGTCCTTTAACGGTTCTTCTAGCTTAGACCCATTTACACACACTTTTCTCTTCATTTATTTATTGCGTATTACTTCAGATGCAACATTCTTAATGCTTCCTCTCTGCCTCTGATCTCTTAGCTTTGTACCTCACGCACCAGTCTCATGTTCTCTTCACCCTCTGTAATTTTACTGGGGATCCACTTGTTTATTAGTGGTGTGTTTTGTAGCCTGCTTTATGTGTTTTTTTTTTTTCACATGCACACACTCAGTTTGTGCAAGGAATAGTGAAGTCCCCAAACAGCAGCAGACGTGGCTTTAAAAGCACAGTAAACGCTGCGGGCGCATCTGAAACATTAAGGATGAAGAAATCCAATCCCAAAAGAGACTGAACTCAAAAGCCCCTCGTTCTAATTTTCCTGTAAAATTTCTTCTTCCAGGAGTTTCACAGCCTAATCCCTCCGTTATGGGGATGCTGTAGTATTTGTGGTGGTAATTATCCTGAAATGCGGTGCGATAATATTTCTCTTGGTAATTTACAGGGCCACCCTGGAAAAGAGGGTCCGTCTGGGGAGAAAGGACACATGGTAAGGTTTATTAACTCCCCCAGCTTCCTGTTTTTAAGCTTTTTTCCGATGTTTTCTCATTTCAGACAGATTTGCATAAAACATTTAGCATAAATGTGGATAAAATTAGCACAGTTGGTGCACGTGTGTGTTTACTTCTAATGAAGCTTGTGTTTCTCTAGGGCCCTGCTGGACCTCAAGGACCCATTGGTTATCCTGGGAACCGAGGAGTCAAGGTGGGTTGGTTATCAATAATAATAAGTAACACCTTGTTGAGGTCATTATGTACGTGTCAGCCACAATGCGTGGTGCTTTATCAGCCCAGTGTTGGACTTTGGACCATTAACGGTGTCTCCCAGGCTGGATAGTGGGGCTGACTGCTGCTTCAGCTGGTGGCCCGTCTCTTGTTTTTGTGTCAGCAGCTGACAGAAGCAAGACAAAAGAAATCCCATCAAATAATTCTCAGTAAGAGGGTGTGACTGATCCGATCATTACAGCTTCCTCAGAGAGAAGGATCACACAACCAGCTTGACATCTTGCCAACAACTCCCCCACTCCACAGCTGAAAACCTCTCTCCAACAAGACGAGAAGGATGGTCGAGTAGAATTTGTTAAACTGTGATCCCTTCAGGTTTTTTTGGGACAGCTTTTGAAGAGAGCACTGATTAGAAAAGAAAAACATGATGCAGGTGGTATTTTTGATCGTCACAAGGTGATAAAGCTAATATTTTAGGACATGATTGATCTTTAAAGGGATTCTCTACAACTTTTTCGTATTTTTAAATCTTTTTCTTGAGCCAGTGTGTGCTAAAATGGCCCTTTACAAGTTAAATAAAAGACCACCCAGCCTCTATCGCCCCCTGTGGCTAGAATAGTCCACTTGCGACTTCAGCCATGCGCTGCAGTCTGCTTTGTTTTTTATTTTTATTTTTTTACAAGAGAAGAGACCGATGTGTTTCCCAAATAGTGCATCAGTCCAAGCAAGACAAATTCTTTCCATTTTTATTCCGTTTTAGTGGCCGTTAACAGAGCACTGTGTTGTGTGTGTCAGCGGCATTCGATCTACGAGGAAATCATGCAACGACAAAGGAGCCACTTGCTTGTTAGCTTCTGTTGAGTTCTAAAAGCAGGAATCTGGAGGTTTTTCTTAGAGGGTGCCATCTAGAGGTGGAACAAATGTATTGCACCATCGTACCTTTAAGCACGTCTCCTTGCTTCCATTATTACGACTGAAAGCAACACTTCTCGTTTGTGAACGCGCTGCTCTAGCGGCCCAACACAGCTAAAACACATTTTTGTATGGTTACTATTACCAGTTTCTGCCATATATGGCATCCTGACCAATCACAAGATGGCGGTCGCCATCATTTTTAACAGGTAGTTAAAAAATTGGGCATATCTCCATCACCCTCTGTGAGCCCGTCGGAGAGCCCTTGCCCTGACGCACAGTGACGTTCCATGTCTCCATACCCGTGCAGATTTCCATAAAATCATATGTGTCGTTGAACGGGGGAACCCTCCGGGTTGCTGCCTTAATGTTGTGTCGGCCACTCTCCTGATAAACACTCAGCCAGATGAGAGGAAAAGAAGTCCGCTGGAGTTTTGTGAACTGAAGATGTTTTGAGTTGTGGCGCATTTGAAGCACATTTCAGAAGTTAAACTTAGTTGTGATAGATGAATTTACAGGAAGTGGTTTGTTTTTTGTTGGGTACGTTTCTACTGTTGTCTAACGTGCGTCTGTTCCTTCACCACAGGGAGCCGATGGCGTCCGCGGGCTTAAAGGAAACAAGGGCGAAAAGGTAAAAAAAAAAAAATCTGCTTGAATTTAAGAGTTGAACTCAACAGTTAGAGAGAAATGTTAGTAGATGTGATTACTGTGATGATTGGCTCTGTTTGCTAATAATAAGCTTAATTAAAATCAGTAAAGCACACGAACATTTTGGTGCTGCAGAAAGAAGAAAAGGCTTATCAAGTGTTTCTATGGCAACAACAAGGGCTCTTGCTTTGTTGCCTTCCTCCTTCAGACTCTACTCCCGTGTCTTTACTTTTGCGCTCATTTTTGAGTGTGTTTATGTGCGAATCATAAAAATAATCCCATCTGTGTTTTTAAGTGTCTTTCATTACATCTTCAGCTCTCAACAGCGTGTGTTTTCTTTTCTCTCTGAAGGGTGAAGATGGCTTCCCTGGCTTCAAAGGAGACATGGGTATCAAGGGCGACAGGGTAAAGTTGGTTTTCATTCCCCTCTCACTCACACCTCCACTGTTACGTTCAAATAAATCACAGATTTAACCCTTTAAGCGCAAAGTCGCAGAATTGCGACAAGCAGCAATGTTGGATTTAATGAGCCACAGCAGCAGAAATGAGCCCTCATGCAGTTTAAAGGTTACACTGCGGGGTGGCAGACACCTGTAACTCCAATCCAAGCAGCATTTGTGGGTGTGTTACTAATGAAACTTTTCGAGTATTTAGAACTTGAACCCCGCCTACCAGTCGCAGAGATTGTCAGAGCAGTCAGGTCAGTGAGAGCGAGCGAGTGGTAACGGAAAAAAAAAACAATGCCAAGAGGAATGTTCAGTGCTGACGAAGCTCTTCGTCTAGTACTGGCAGATTCAGATTCAGAGGAAGAATATTTCCTGTCCAAGGATGATCTGCCGTCTTCTAGCGAGACGGAAAGCGTGGCTTCAGCGCGCAGCAACAGAGAGTCCGTCTGTTGCTCATGGACGGCGTCAGCGACAGCACGGTTCCGCGTCGGGCAAAGAGACGTGGCGGGGGGGGGGGGGGGGGGGGGGCTCGTACCGGGTCTGATCCTTTGATCCACCGTGCCAGGTGCAGGGGGATGTGGTGGTGGTGTTCGGGCCGGTGAAAACTCCTCTGGTGATCAATTCAGCATCTCTCTCTCTCTCTCTCTCTCTCTCTCTCTCTCTCTCTCTCTCTCTCTCTCTCTCTAACAGTTATAAACAAAATAAAACCAAGAAGGGATGAGTGAAGTGTGTTCATGACACTGAAGCACCAAAAACAGTGTTCTTGATTGATACGCAGTAAACATAACAAAATACCAATAAAGTAATAAATATTATATATATATACATACATAGTTATATATGTCTACATAGGAGTATGTATATATGTATCATAAACAAGAACAACACTAATAAAATAAGACAAAAACATTTTAAAAAATCTGCAAATGTGATGCAATCCAATATGGCTGCTACCTGATGATGTCATAATATGCTAATTATGTGAGTGAATTCGTTCCTAGCACAAAATTTGGCTCATACTGAAGATTTTTCTAATTTACAATATTCCTCTATCTCTAACCAGATTTAAGCTACAAGCACTTTAAATAGTGATATAAAACATTTGTATTTTACTGAAATAACTACGGCGCCTAAAGGGTTAACATTTAGCTTTTACATCGTCTGAAGCCTTGCGTTGCTTGGCGCTGACCTTTACCTGCACAGAGCAAAAGCTTCAGTCATTCTGCTACTTTAGCCCCTTATTGCCTGAGAATTTCTGACCCCTCTGTGGGATTGTGGGTAATGAACAAACATAAGGTGTTGTTCTGATTGACAGCTGCGGTTGTGTGTTTTTGTTTTTAACGCAAGCCGTTTTCAATTCCTCCTCTGCTTCCAGCCCGTCGGCTCTGAACTCAATGCTAGGGGAATCAGGAGCAGTAGTCTGACACGCGGCTGGCAGCACGAGCGCATCGGGGATTTGCTCTGTCAGGTTGTTGGAAAAATATGACTTATACAATGAGCAGCCCGTACTTCAAACTTCAAATCTCCTCTTCCTGACCGGGTTGTCTCTAGCTGAAAGGAAGGAGAAATCAACGGTTCATTAAGTCGTCCTTCGAGGCCACGGAAAACACGAGGCTTCAGCGGCGATTTCCTCTGGAGATGATGCTGATCCAGATGAAAGCAAAGATTTGCGGAGTCACCTTGCTCTGGAGATTAACACAGGGTAGCGTAAATGAATCATTCTGAAGCCGCCATAGAAAAAAAAGTTGCGCGCGCGTGCTTGAGAGCTCATTTGAACGTGTCGTCTTTGACGAGCCAGCAAGCGCAAGTCAGGTACAGTTTGCTTGACGCTGTTTTATGTGCGCTTGAGTGCGGACGTGCGTGCGTTTGCCTGCTTTGCAGCTTTCACACTTTAACTAGATACCTCTCACACACACCGGTGGGACTGTGCTGCAGCGCCCGGTTGTCAGAGCAGGTTTGTACTCCGTCATTCAGCGTGGGCCTGTTTAAAGTGGGAGCACTCGTACAGAAAGGAGCAGTAATAGGACTGCTAAATACCCTCGAATAGAAACACTGGCTCACTGGATCCGTGAAGCTACTTTACACTGTGATATCATTTAAGGAGCAACCTGAAACTACCTGAACAGAGAGTCGTTCACGGTCTCTTGTCTACAGAATTCTTTAGTAAAAGCATAGGAATTACTGGAATTCCTACTTCAGCATAAATACTTCAATTTGTTGATTTAGTGGCAAACAAAATTAAATGGAGAAATGTAAGGAGTGTGTAATTTCTTTAAAACATCAACGTTGGAAAACTAACCGAGTCAGTGGTAGAGTCACGTTGCTGCTGGCCAATCAGAGTCTAGACGTCTGAATAGCATGAATAATAATGAAGACTCCAAACCCAACCATTTTCTGCCCCCTTCCAACCCTCCAGCTAACTTTAATTTCCAGAAACGGGAGCACCAGAGCATTTATCCAGAGAATGATCCACAAGACATCCATTCATCCTAGACACCAAAGCTGCTTTATTGGGTTTATGTCTGCCTTAATGAAGTTAACATTTGAGTTTTGAGCAAGGGTAGTGAGAAAGTGAGTAACACGCATGGCAAGAAATGAACACATTATGGTAGTTTATTAAGATAAAAGTCTCATTTTGAGATGAGTGGACTCAGGGGTCTCCTTTAAAAAGCAGCTGAAGACTCACCTGTTCAGACAGGCTTTTATGTGACCTTCATCACCCTCACCTTATTCAGCTCTTTTTACCATTGTCGACTTTCCCGGGCTCCACTGATTTCCCTCCATTTTAATCAGTTTCACTTTTCCTTTCCTTACATTTTTTTAAATCTTTCAAATTTTTTATATTTATTTATGTTCTTGCGAAACTCGTGACTTTTATCTTGAGAGGTGCTATGTAAAAGTTTGTTTCTTCTTTTTCTATTACTGGCATCTCATCAAGAGTGTGAAAACCGTAGACATGAAGACGTAGATGCCCCACTGAGCACTGGAGAGCGTAATAGCATTGCCGCCATATTGGATGGGTCTCCTCACTCCAAAATCAATGCAGAATGAGCAGCTTTTTCCATTTTTGTGCAGCCTACAGTTACAACAATGGTGTACTATTGAAAATAGGTAATGTGGTATTACTGTAGACCAGCGGTTCCCAAACTTATGTAGCCGCGCACCCCCTTCTATGTCCCGACCATGTCGACGCACACCCCAGCCCCCACACCAGGGCATGGCTATATATATATATATATATATATATATATATATATATATATATAGAATAGAATAGAATAGAATAGCCTTAATCGTCGTTGTACGGGGTACAGTGAATTTGGAGTGCCATTCCCTTTTGGGGGAAAAGAATACAAGAAAATAATACAGAAATAATATAAATGCAAAATCAACAATAATATTTACAAATGTGTACAGAGTAGCAGCATTTAGTCTTGATAAGAAAAGTGTTTCATGGTTCTTTTTCTAACCAGGGGGAACTTGGACCAGCTGGCCCCAGAGGAGAAGATGGTCCAGAGGGGCCAAAGGGTCGCTCAGGGCTCCCAGGAGACGCTGGTCCACTTGGTCCCAACGGTGAAAAGGTAAACTGCTTTTTCTTTTAACTGAAGCGTGAGACCTTCTGATATCTCACTCAGAAAAACAGGGTGAAAGAAAAAAAAAATGTTTTGGATCTTTATCTCTGATTGTGACACAGCAAGGTTTAAAAGAAAAGACTTATTTTGTGATTGCCCAAATCCAAACAACAATCCGTTTTTCTATTCTTCGGTGCTCGTTCACTAGCTGGCAGCATGAATGGATCCAGTTACTGATTCAGTTGAAGGATGAGTAAACTGATGTGAAATTCTTCAGCCAACAACAATTTCTCATGTCTGCTGACGAAAATCATTTTTCTGGAATAGTACATTTGTTTCCTGGTGGACGCTGGAGGAAACTTGTCTCTAAGGGTGACATTTTGTCTTACAGGATCAGACGGCACCGCACAACTAAATAATGATTTAGCAAACTATTCCTCGGTCAGCTGTGTTATGTTTGAGCACAATGGTATATGTGATTCCTAACTTTAGTGAAAAAAGCTGCATTCGATTTATCATAAGAATTTTTTTGTATTTTTTACTAATTAAAACGGATTTGCATTGAATAAAAGTCCAGTTTGATCCACTTCCCTGCGACTGAGTGGGCTGTAACGTTGGTGTTTAGTTTAAGACACAAAATTATGAGAACTTTTATGAGATACTTTTTACCTGACATGTAAACTAGCTGAAACATGTCCGGTAAAACACATTTTTTTACTAAAGACAAGAACAAAAAAACAGATAACGAAGATAAACACAGGATGAACGTACAAAAGTGACAATTTAGTCACTAAGTATCTCAGTCATGTTTCCTTTTTACACCCTTCTTATTCACCATTTCGTGTCTAACCCCTCACGCCACGCTTCTTCCAACTTTCTGTTTATGTTTATGTATTTAGCAGACACTTTTGTCCAAAGCGACTTACAAGTGATAATCGGCATGTTGCCCGTGAGGCTAACAACAACAATAACAACAACAACTTGACATCAGTCATGAAGAGGAGGGAACAAAGGAGTGGACGGTAGAGAGGGGGGACGGGTGCAGGGAGGGTGCTAGTTCAGAAGATGCTCTCTGAAGAGCAGGGTCTTCAGGAGTTTCTTGAAAATTGAAAAAGAAGCCCCTGTTCTGGTAGTGTTAGGAAGGTCATTCCACATTTGTGGAACGACGTGTAGTTTAAGAAGAGTTCTAGACCGGTTCCTGATGTGCACAACTTGCACTAACCTTCTGAACAGGTTCAGAGTTCCTGCAACAAAAAACTTAAGCTCTGCGGTGTGAGCAAGGAAGCTAAAAGCCTGCACAAACATTTGGAGTCAAGTTTCAGTTTTTGCACCATCAGTCACATCCCAGTGAGATTCTGGCTTAAGTTCAAGCGCAGCACTAGTTCTAGTAAATTCTGCTGTTCAGCTTGTGCACATCTGACTGTTTTAACTTCTACTCTGGAGATTTGCATGCGTCATTTTGGAAGCAGGATTCAGCCTGGTTTTGTACCCTTGGAATGAGATTGTAGGTGTATGGATGTAGGAGTGGACGTAATTTATTTGGGGGGGGGGGGACATGTCCCCCCCCCCCCCACTTTTTCCAAAGTCAAGTTTTGACTCCTGCACTCTTTACCATCCAAAAACAATGTTACGCTATATTAAATTGACACTGGTTGAGCTCTAGGACCAAGCGGTAAACAACCGTTTGTGTTGAAGCCCATTTCCCATTAGAGCATACTGTAAAGATACCCCCCCCCCCCCCCACCCCACTCCGTGTCCCCCCCACTTCTAAAGTGAAAATTACGTCCGTGGATGTAGGAGTTAGTTAAATGTGCACAGTGTGTTGCTTGTTTTGTTTTTTTGTTTATTTACCTTTTTAGTTTTTAGTCAAATGAAATCAGCTAGTAAATCATTCTTACATCATTTTTCAGTGACTTAGGATAAAAAATAGCATTTTGGCTAGCTGGTGTATAGAATAAAGTCCCTTTCAAATTAACCTATTCAACATTTAGATCTACTATCATTAGGGCTAAATTAAATGTATTAATCGATTAAATCAATGTAAATGTTAAAAATGTACTTTTCTTCCAGAATTTCTAATCACGTATTTTTTTTAAGAAGAAAAAACATTCCTTATGTAAAAAGTCTTGTTGGTAATGGGGAATGAATTAGTTTTTTATTGTTTGTTTCATTAGTTCGTATTTGTGATTTTTACACGTCAAATATTTTGTCACATCCAGGGTAAACTCGGAGTTCCTGGATTACCAGGATACCCAGGAAGACAAGGACCAAAGGTAAGTCCTAACAAACACTTCATCATTTACTGATGTCAGATTAATTAATGCAATTTAGCTGGATGTAATAGTATTTTTGATGCTTTATTTATATATTTAGTGTATTTAAAAGAGAATGAAACATGCGCTGTGCAGGCGGCTTTGCTGCACGTTTGATGGCTCATCCTTTAGCCTCTCTGAGGCAAAGCTGCAGTCTGACAGCTGGATGTGCTTGAAGCATCCTGATCAAAGGAAGGAGGATTTAAATGTGCTAGTTGCTGTCAACGCTCTGCTGCTGATACGATAATAAAAGCGCTGCGATCTTGTGTTTCACTCGGGATAATGGGCTCCACGTCTCTCAGAAAAAAGAAACAAGGCACGCATGTTTATGTTTCCTATCTCGGATGACTAATTACACCTTTTCTGACACACAGGGATCTCAGGGTTTCCAAGGGTTCCCCGGTGCCAACGGAGAGAAGGGATCTCGGGTATGCCGAGTGCATTTCTAAAGGGTTCTGGCCCTACAGGTGTTGGATCTAGGTGGAGCATCGGAGGCTGGCTTCTGTCCCAGATTCCTCCTTCATCGCCCCGCGAGCTACAAAAAAACCTACTCTGTTTATTACTGTGTGGTGCTTGAGCAATGTTTCATTTGCTTTGTTTGGGGATGGGCTATTAGCTTCCCAGTAAGAGTAACAGTTTGTCACCGGGAAGGGGGAGCCAGGACCACAAAGCATTTCGAGCTTCCAGTCGGAGAGGAAAGATAAAGCCTTTAAAGCACGTTCACAACACCTAGCTGAAAGTTAAAACACGTAACTGTTCACCAGCTTTAATGAGTGTTGCATTAGCATTTCTCTCCTTCATAACACGAGTGCCATCCGTTTGATCGCTGTGTGTTTTTAACGTCCGCAGGGAACGGGAGGAAAGCCAGGCCCACGAGGACAGAGGGGACCGACGGTTAGTCTTACTCAGCACACTTGAGCTTATCTACAGATGGCAAACTTGGCACCAGAGCAGTGGACACTCAGCCTGGTCATTCTTGGGAGAAAGCCAACCCAAGACCATGATTTATCTTAGTGTTTCCAGGTCAATCACACCTCTTGAGGGGTCTCTCTCTTTCTTTCTTTTTCAATTCAGGGGCCTCGAGGTGAAAGAGGACCAAGAGGACCGACGGGAAAAGCCGGCCCAAAGGTGTGTAACAGAATTCACTTTTCTATTCTTCTTGTATTCAAATATATTCAGCTTCTTATTTCATCCTTTTAGGGTAACTCAGGAAACGATGGACCTCCAGGACCTCCTGGTGAGAGGGTATGTAGTAGTGCTCTGTTTTTAAAATCCATGTCTTAAATGCTTTAAGAGATTATTGTTTTCTAATCTGTGGTAATATGTTCATCAGGGTTTACCGGGACCTCAGGGACCAACAGGTTTTCCGGGACCAAAGGGTCCACCTGTGAGTTTAGATACCAATCCCTTATCTGTCTTTGTTATCCTTACATTTACTTTAGATTTTTTTTTAAATTAATGGGAATGTGGGAATTTCTTAGGGACCTGCCGGGAAAGACGGGCTGCCTGGACATCCTGGACAGAGAGGAGAGACTGTAAGCTCGGTGCTTTGATCCCTCAGATCTTCTGTGTTGCACCTCATCAGTAAAGTGACTTGTTTCTTTTTGTACTCAGGGATTCCAAGGCAAGACAGGTCCTCCTGGTCCTCCAGGTGTCGTTGGACCTCAGGTGAGCCATTTTGCTGAACGTGTAAATAGCTTTCTACTAGGGATGTCCCGATCAGGTTTTCTTGCCCTCGAGTCCGAGTCATTTGACTTTGAGAATCTGCCGATATCGACTCCCGATCCGATACTTTGGATACTTAAAAAAAAAAAAGAAGAAAAGGAAGAAACAGTTCCAGAGTGTTCCTTATTTTTTATTTAATTACCTTTTATTTTAATTATTAACAACAGATCACTTCTGTGAGGTAGCTTGAACAATCAAGTAATAACATAAATTCTTCACTTTTGGACTTTATTGCAAATATAAAAAGTCTAATATAAAAACAGATCGCACTTCAACTTAAAATACCTGGCAGGGGTCTATTTTGCCTCGGCCCCCAAAATGCTTAGATACGCCCCTGGGCACGGGACGGAGTTTTGAAGATGATCTGAATTGTACCAACTATATAAATACTACATGCTGATAAGTTATTGCTTTATACAGGTACAAACGTGTAGTGGGATCAATCTACCTAGGCTATATTTTATTTTTTAAGAACTTTGTTTTGTTTTCTTGGTTTTTATTTTCCTGTCTTCCTGTCCTGTCTGTCTCTGATCTTCCTGCATCTCCCAGTCCTCCAGACAAGCTCCTGCCTGCTTCCTTCTTTTTCACCTCACAATTAACTTTTTAACTAGCAGATCAAATTCATCTATCGACCTAAAAAAAAGCGGAGTGTGCGCTGCGCTGCCCGGCTGCGCCAGTGACGAGCGCTGCAGCGGGGGCCGCGCGAGCGCGTCCACACGTCATGCTCAAATACAGACAGAACTGACCAGAGAGAAAATGAACAGACACGAACGACTGTGTGTTAATTATATATTTTTTGGTGACGCCACTTAGAAACTTAGAAAATGTTACTGTGGCCGTCTGCAGACCGCAGCTGGAGTTCATGAATAATCAGCGGTCTGCCTGCAGCTCTCTGCTCAAAAGGATCCCCGCTACACTGAGTCCATATAAATAATATAAAATAGGTGGAAACTGGATCTTTTTTGTGCTCCTTCTGGGTGTGTAAGTTAAGGGCATCAGGGGAGCCTGACAACCTTTAGGGAGAACCAAGTTGCTCTCCTGTAATTTGAACCGAGTATCCAAGTCCGAATCGCGAAGTAAAGCCCGAGTCCCATCAGTCTGAAACCACGTGATCGGGGCCGATTTCCGATCATGTGATCGGATCGGGACATCCCTACTTTCTACTCCTATTTCCTGCATTAACCTCCAATAGAAGATAGACGGGGAAACGTTAGGATTTGAAAAGCCACTCATACCAAACCAAGTTTATTTATAAAGCTCATTTATAACAGCATGGCTGCGGCTAAATGGAGACCCATCAAAGATGGCGGCCGACTACTATGGTGGCTCCAGTAGGCATCAGTCCACGGAGCATCTACATAAATATGTCTGTAAAATAGTATCCATGTTCTCACCCATCTTGACTCGTGACGGGGAGGGCTGTTGTTGGTTTAGCGTGCGGGGAAATGCAGAGAATGTCTCGGCTAGTTGAAGCTAATGTTAGCATTAGCATCTCCACAACATGGCAGAACTCTTTCAGGTTTGTTAGTTGTTGAGGTAAAACAATAACGCTGAAGAGGAAATGGAGGCAGTGGAAGAGTTGTCATAGCTGTTAGCCAATTAGAAGAGAGATTTCTGAACATCATGAATGATAATGAGTAAGATCCTGCTGTTTTCTGCCCCCTTGTTCTCTAGCTAACTTCTACTTCCTAAAACAGGAGCGCCACGGCTTATTTGTTTTTCACCGAGAACAATTCACATTAGTGGAAAAACAGATTGTAGGTTTACTTTAACATTTTACTTTGATTTTAACTACCTAAACTAAAAACTCCATAACAAAGTCTGACTAGTTGTCCGTTTTTATTTGGAAGCTGCAAGGAAACCAAAAAGTAACAGTTTTTGTTGGTCTAACACCAGCTGATTTATTATGGTATCTGTATTGTTGGAGCTGCGATTTAGGTTTGTTTTATTTCTTTTACATTAGCATTGGGCTCTTCATCCATTATACATGCAGACTTTAATTCAAGCAGCTCTCCCAATTCCAGCCGAGAATGTTCATAATAACAGAGCTATAATGCAGCTTTAATGAGTAGCAGACTGCCCACACAGCAAATGTTCAGCCTCTCCACAAGATATTGAAAGAATTTTATCATCTTTGTGTTTTTCCTAATTGCTAATTATCTGATTTTGTTCTTCAAACCTTTTCTGTATATCAGGTAAAAGCTTTATCTCTTCCATTTTTTAAACACGTTTTATTTCATTTGTAGGGACCAACTGGTGAAACTGGACAAATGGGAGACCGAGGCCACCCTGGACCCCCAGGTCCACCCGGTGAGCACGGTCTGCCTGGACCTGCCGGGAAAGAAGGAGCCAAGGTGAATTTGTGGTTAAGGGTTGCTCTTAGCTAGATGCAAAACTTACATGCAATCAAACTGATCACCTCTATCCATCTCTGTCCTTTTTGCATGTAGGGGGATCCTGGTCCTGCTGGCCCAGCAGGTAAAGATGGTCCTCCTGGGCAAAGAGGTTTTCCTGGAGATAGAGGTCTTCCTGGTCCTGTGGTAAGTATATTCTCCGGCTGAGTACTCATAATACCTCCTTAAAGGATAATATGTTCCACTGCTTGGTTGTTGTGTAATGTATTAGGCTGTAAAAATGTGTGGAGCTTCAAGAATGAGAGACCAGACCTCTAAGTGGGTTTTAGAGAAAGAACAAACTGATTTATTTTAGGTTTTATTATTTTTAATTCATGTACTTGTGCAATTTAGTTCACTTTCTCTGTGCAAACATGTCAGTTGTAGAAACAGAGTTAAGTACAACATCAGGAATCGCATCCGTGGATGCACAGGCCGCTCTGTGATGATACGGAGGGTGATGCAGCAGGATTTGGTAAAGCAGGGTTAGCTGGCTTTGGAGACTACAGGAGGTTTTCCACCTCACGCTGAGCCCGTTTAAAGATGGAGAGTCTGGAAGGCAGGATGCTTCCTCAACAGATGTGTCATTCTTGTTCCTGAAACCATTGTTTAATATTTGCTCTGCAGGGAGCTCATGGCCTGAAAGGGAACGAGGGTCCTCAAGGCCCACCTGGCCCTGCTGTGAGTACGATTTACTGCATCTGCATCCTTGTTCTGTCTCCATGTAGGATCATTTCCTTCATGACGACCATAGTCCTGCTTAATGAAGAGAAGTCGTTTTGATGCAGTGGGTGATTATTTGCATATGACTGGATGTTCTAAGAGTTTAGCTTTACCGGTTTGATGTGTTTATATAGGGTTCCCCTGGTGAGAGGGGTCCTGCCGGCCCAGCTGGACCTACAGGCCTCCCTGGACGTACTGGCCCTCAGGGACCTCCAGGCACTGCTGGAGAGAAAGGTGGACCGGTAGGAAGAGTGCATTACTAAAATATCTATAATTTTCTAAATATGTAGCATGTTTAGCCTGGGATGACCTTGTGACCCTGTGCTTTGTTATAAAAAACATCTTTAGGGAGAGAAAGGACCTCAAGGACCAGCTGGAAGAGATGGTATTCAGGGACCTGTGGGTCTACCAGGGCCTGGAGGACCTCCTGGACCCCCAGGGGAGGATGGAGATAAGGTCAGGTTATATTTAATGGCTTATTTCCTGGTCAGTGAGAATAAAAGTGTGATGGAATTCAGGAAGTTTCTTTTTTTCCTATCAGTCTCTTTTTTACCATTAAGCATGCATGACAAGCAAGTGCAGCCATTTAACCTTACAGTAGACGCCAACGTCGAAATCTCGCCCTGATAGCTTCTTGTCTTCTTTGTTCTACGACTTTAAACGCTCTAAAGGGATCTTGTTTGACAGAGCTATCGTGGATTTGCAGCTCCTTAAAAGGCCACGTGGCCTTGTCGCTGCCGCTCAGCGCTGCTCTGTACAAACAAGAGTGAAGAGAAAGGTTTGAATTCTGCTGCAGCGACAGAATTGTCAAAGTGGCACTTTACTATTCAGAGCCAAGAGCAACTTTTTATCCTCTCTAAAAACATTTGCAGGGAGATCAGCCATGGAGAAACTGAAAGGATAAGCTCTCATCCTTTGAAGATTGCCTCAGTTCTTAACCGGCCTTACGCTGGTCCCCGTGGTGTAGATGGACACAAAGAACTTCGAGGGTATTTACCATGCAGATAAAACGGATATCACAGGCTAATGTTTACACACACTCTCAGACACTTCCTTATAATAAGGCCTATCTGTGTGGAGTGAGAGTGTTGGTGGTTTTAAGGAACAAAACACAATGTCTGACTAAAACTCAGAAGCAAATGCTTTTAGCTCTGATAGTTATTAGCGATTAATTTATTTTTTTGTTCGCACGCCCACTGTGAGCTCTGAAAGCATATTTTAGTTAATTTGTTGGAAGCTGTGTCAGATGCATGTAATGAACTTTTCTTTTTTGCCAATGACTCCTGATTTTTAAATTAACAGCTTATTTTTTAGAGAAAATATTTAAAGAAAACATTAACAAATCCAGGGAGGAAAATGTCTCTTCGAAAGAAGGTGGAGCTTCTTCTTTCGTTTTTAAATTGGTTTTACATATAAGTAGCCTGGCAAGCAATTCTCAATATGTAAACATACATATAGTCTGACCACGACCCATTGCCAGCTCAGTTCGGGGGCAGAATCTATGGTTGTGTTTCTGTTTCCGCATGCTAGGACAGTGAGCAACATGACATACTCAACGCTATGGATTCAGAAAACCTTATTTCTCCTCGAGTGGCAATTTAGGACACGAGTGAGCAGCACAACAATGACAGAATACTAGTTATAAAAGTTGCCATGCCATAAAAGTTATAAAAACCTAAGATGTCCAAAGGGACAATATAGACAGCTTGTCATGCCAGTCAACAAGGCTGTCCACCATACATGGTCAAAAAAGAGGCAAATACATTAATTTTCTTAATAAAGGACTTTGGCACCTCTGTCTGAGTCAAAGAAAAACCCCACGCCTAAATAGTCCAAAGTTGATGCTAAAGCTACTTTAAATGAGCCACCTCCATCTTTGTTGTTCTGCTCAGTCTCATCATCCCGCTCACCAAACCGATAGAGCTATGTTATTGGCCACCAAACTGATAGAGCTCTGTTATTGGCCACCAAACCGATAGAGCTCTGTTATTGGCCACCAAACCGATAGAGCTCTGTTATTGTCCACCAAACCGATAGAGCTCTGTTATTGGCCACCAAACCAATAGAGCTTTGTGATCGGCTTACCAAACCGATAGAGCTCTGTTATTGGCCACCAAATCGATTGAGCTCTGTTATTGTCCACCAAACCGATAGAGCTCTGTTATTGTCCACCAAACCGATAGAGCTCTGTTATTGGCCACCAAACCGATAGAGCTCTGTGATTGGCCTACCAAACCGATAGAGCTCTGTTATTGGCCACCAAACCGATAGAGCTCTGTGATTGGCCTACCAAACCGATAGAGCTCTGTTATTGGCCACCAAACCGATAGAGCTCTGTTATTGGGCACCGAACCGATAGAGCTCTGTTATTGTCCACCAAACCGATAGAGCTCTGTTATTGGCCAGAGCTCTGTTATTGTCCACCAAACCGATAGAGCTCTGTTATTGGCCACCAAACCGATAGAGCTCTGTTATTGGGCACCGAACCGATAGAGCTCTGTTATTGTCCACCAAACCGATAGAGCTCTGTTATTGGCCAGAGCTCTGTTATTGGCCACCGAACCGATAGAGCTCTGTTATTGGCCACCAAACCGATAGAGCTCTGTTATTGGCCACCAAACCGATAGAGCTCTGTTATTGGCCAGAGCTCTGTTATTGGCCACCAAACCGATAGAGCTCTGTTATTGGCCACCAAACCGATAGAGCTCTGTTATTGGCCAGAGCTCTGTTATTGGCCACCAAACCGATAGAGCTCTGTGATTGGCCTACCAAACCGATAGAGCTCTGTGATTGGCCTACCAAACCGATAGAGCTCTGTTATTGGCCAGAGCTCTGTTATTGTCCACCAAACCGATAGAGCTCTGTTATTGGCCACCAAACCGATAGAGCTCTGTTATTGGCCACCAAACCGATAGAGCTCTGTTATTGGCCACCAAACCGATAGAGCTTTGTGATCGGCTTACCAAACCGATAGAGCTCTGTTATTGGCCACCAAACCGATAGAGCTCTGTTATTGTCCACCAAACCGATAGAGCTCTGTTATTGTCCACCAAACCGATAGAGCTCTGTTATTGTCCACCAAACCGATAGAGCTCTGTTATTGTCCACCAAACCGATAGAGCTCTGTTATTGTCCACCAAACCGATAGAGCTCTGTTATTGTCCACCAAACCGATAGAGCTCTGTTATTGTCCACCAAACCGATAGAGCTCTGTGATTGTCCACCAAACCGATAGAGCTCTGTTATTGTCCACCAAACCGATAGAGCTCTGTTATTGTCCACCGAACCGATAGAGCTCTGTTATTGTCCACCGAACCGATAGAGCTCTGTTATTGTCCACCGAACCGATAGAGCTCTGTTATTGTCCACCAAACCGATAGAGCTCTGTTATTGTCCACCAAACCGATAGAGCTCTGTTATTGTCCACCAAACCGATAGAGCTCTGTTATTGTCCACCAAACCGATAGAGCTCTGTGATTGGCCACCAAACCGATAGAGCTCTGTTATTGGCCACCGAACCGATAGAGCTCTGTGATTGGCCACCAAACCGATAGAGCTCTGTTATTGGGCACCGAACCGATAGAGCTCTGTTATTGGCCACCAAACCGATAGAGCTCTGTTATTGGCCACCAAACTGAAAGAGCTCTGTGATTGGCCTACCAAACCGATAGAGCTCTGTTATTGGCCACCAAACCGATAGAGCTCTGTGATTGGCCTACCAAACCGATAGAGCTCTGTTATTGGCCACCAAACCGATAGAGCTCTGTTATTGGGCACCAAACCGATAGATCTCTGTTATTGTCCACCAAACCGATAGAGCTCTGTTATTGGCCAGAGCTCTGTTATTGTCCACCAAACCGATAGAGCTCTGTTATTGGCCACCAAACCGATAGAGCTCTGTTATTGTCCACCAAACCGATAGAGCTCTGTTATTGGCCAGAGCTCTGTTATTGGCCACCAAACCGATAGAGCTCTGTTATTGTCCACCAAACCGATAGAGCTCTGTTATTGTCCACCAAACCGATAGAGCTCTGTTATTGGCCACCAAACCGATAGAGCTCTGTTATTGGCCACCAAACCGATAGAGCTCTGTTATTGGCCACCAAACCGATAGAGCTCTGTTATTTGGCCACCAAACCGATAGAGCTCTGTTATTTGGCCACCAAACCAATAGAGCTCTGTTATTGGCCACCAAACGGATAGAGCTCTGTTATTTGGCCACCAAATCGATTGAGCTCTGTTATTGGCCACCAAACCGATAGAGCTCTGTTATTGGCCACCAAGCCGATAGAGCTCTGTTATTGGCCACCAAACCGATTGAGCTCTGTGATTGGCCACCAAACCGATAGAGCTCTGTGACTGCCTCACCAAACCGATAGAGTGCAGTTATTGGTGTAACACAAAACTGCTCAGGCCGATTGTATACCTGCCAAAGGTCCTCCAGAGTGTGGCTAGACCGACCTGGAGAGCAAAATCTTTTTGATACTGCTACAGTCTGTCTAGATTTCTAGGCTAATATATAACATTTTCTCTTATTGGGAATTTTTATATAATTTAGCATTCTCAAGTTATATTTCCCTCCTTTTGCTGATGACTTTCAACCTGTTCTGTGTTTCACACTTTGATGGTGTCGTTTCACAGGGGGAAATTGGTGAACCGGGCCAGAAAGGAAGTAAAGGTGACAAAGGAGAACATGTAAGTTGTTTACTTTTGAAACATCAACAGGTATTTACAATTCTGACTATAAGCCAGGTTTCTGTTGAATTCATCATGAGCAAAATTAACAACATCTTTTTAATATGCTTCCTCATTAGGGTCCACCAGGCCCAACTGGCCCTCAAGGCCCCGTTGGAGCACCAGGTCCTGCTGTAAGTGTCAACATTGTGCCCAAATTCCCAATTGTTTACGTTTCTTGGTTTCTGAATCAACATATTATCTGTTTTTCAGGGTGCTGATGGGGAGCCGGGTCCTAGAGGTCAACAGGGTATGTTTGGACAAAAGGGAGACGAAGGGTCAAGAGGCTTCCCTGGACCTCCAGGCCCAGTCGGGCTGCAGGTATGCATTACAATGAACAAGAGAATCTCCAAGTGCAGGTTTTGTACTAGTCAAAACTAGCTTATTTGGTCCTACTATTTTCTGTGTCTCTTTTTTTATTATTACTTTATAACCACATTTTTAGTCCTTCACTGTTTTTATTGTTTGTGTTTGTTGTACTTTGACCTTAAAACATAAAACATTCCTGTGGTGATTTTTTAGGGTTTGCCTGGCCCGCCTGGTGAGAAAGGTGAAACTGGAGATGTTGGTCAGATGGTAAGATTGTATTCTGTACACTTTAACAATGCTGTCCATACAAAAACTTTCAAAGTACATTTCTATGATAGGGTCCACCTGGTCCTCCTGGTCCCAGAGGCCCCTCTGGACCCCCAGGAGCCGACGGCCCTCAGGGACCCCCTGGTGGTATTGGAAACCCTGGTGCTGTGGGAGAAAAGGTGAATCTTTCATCTTGTTTATTTATTGGAGTTTGACACATTTTATTTGTTATTGCATTTGATGCTGCTCTGCTGAAATTGGGCTAACCGGACACGTCATGTTTTTGGTGCATATGCTTGAAAGAAAAACCAGCTAAGGAAAATTCTGGAAGTACATTGACATTTTACGTGTCCCTTACTGTATTACCCTTTTAAACAGGGCATAAAATGTTTTTCTACAAAAAAGTGACAGATGCAAACAAATCTAACGAACAGGCAGCCATCCTCTAATGGATTGCTGGATGGATTGACTCAAAGGCGTCCTTTTGCAGTTCTTAAATGGCAGATGCATTATTAAAAGCTGCTTACATAAAACGTGATACAGTTCTCATCTGTTGCTGCTGTTTCATTATAAAATGTTTGTTTTGGCAGCGGCTGAAATGCGGCGCCGTGCACTTTAGCGACACTCTCTCTGTTGTGTCAGTGGGATTTGTTTTATCAAGTTCAGTCAATAGAATCACCTTTTGCTCCTTTGTAATCTCCCTGAGGAGACTCTGCACAAAAACACAGACCGCTCCTTTTGGCTAATTGCAGCTGATTTGGCGTTTTATTAGCTCTTATCAGCTCAGAGTGCTGGCAAGTAGCTCAGATGCATACCTCATGTATCTGTGATGAGCAGCTGTCTTTTATGCTTTTGGTTTTTCTGTTCTCAGCAGATTTTGTTCTTAGCACCCCTTTGGTGGACATAAGCATGCTGTCAGAAGGATGATGCCCAGGCCTTTGTAGTATCAAATGCAGCATTGTATAAGGGAAAAAAAATGTGTGTGTTGCTAAAACCTAAAGAAACAAATCTGGCCAGTGTGAGCTTTTTAAAACCAAACATGAGGCTTTTTTTGTAAGGCGACACCAATTTGGAGCTCCCATTGAGTTGTTCATATTTAAAGGAGCAATTTGTCAGAAATCTACAGTGAAATAATCACAAAACAGTCTAATGTCTCAATTATGTTGGACGGAAGGTTATGCTGAAATAAATTAAATTCTCAGCTGACTGGCGGTCGTCAGTTTTTCTCCTTTTGAATAAACCGAACAGGACGTAGTTACTATTCACACTCTGTGAGTCTGTGAGGTTGCTAAATCTGCAGCAAGCTAATGCTGCGTTGCTTCGACACTGGCCGGCGAAAAGCTCCAGGGTTTTGGCGCACCTGTTTCAGGATCTAGAAGTGAGCCACATCAGAGGAGAGTTTCAGACGGCAGGATTAGAAGTCTTATTTCCTGATATTTAGACATCTCACCTCTGATTGGCTAACAACAACACAACTCTTCCACTGACTCCATTTACCTTGTAACATTGATGTTTTATCTCCACAAATAACACAAGCCTAAAGGAGCTGTGTGGTGAAGTTGCTAATGTTAGCCAAAATTTTCTCAGCTGTTTCCTGGATGTTAAAAAAATTAGTCAAGACAAAAAAAATCAGTGACCGATTATAATCAGAAATAATTATTTAATAAATGTTTTTTCAGTGAATCACATCTCTAAAAAACAGGGTATCCGCGGATCCTTAAAAAGTCTTAAAAAGTCTTAAATTTACTTTTCCAAATTTAAGGCCTTAAAAATCCTTAAAAATGACAAATAATCCTTAAATACAGTTTCCAAAGGTCTTAAATTACCAAAGACTCAATAAACAAGATTCTTTTATTTCTATACAATTTTCATGAATTTCTAGTTGGTATTCAGCATTTTTTTTGTATGATGTTGGCGTAAGCAGAACCGTACACATTCAGTTGGTTGTGAAAGGGGGCTTTTTCTAGATGAGCACATTAGCTGGTTGAGCTAGTGGGAGCTTGCGCCATGGGGAAGTGCAAGTTTAATGGTAACTGGATGGCTAATCCCACGTTCGCGACGTGGTTAGCACCGGTTCCAGGCAATAGCTGGAAAATAAAGCTTAAATGTAATTATGAAAATAGCTTAAATTTGGCTCCCTTAAACCTGCAGATACCCTGAAAAATAAACTGCAGTACCAACATTTGACCACAGGATGTCATTCTTTCAAATTGCACTTTTAAGGAAATCATCATAACAGAACCGTGCTATTGATTTACTCGTCATCTTCCAAACATGACATAGGACGGTATTTTTCCACCAAGCAGGTGTGGCAGAATGCATTTGTCGTAAACGTCCGCAGGGCAGGCTGTAGGCCTGTGTGACAGTGAGTAACGATACACCTGGGGTGTAGGTGAGCCAGCAGGACAACTGTTCAATAGGGCAAGAGGAAGAGGACAAGATATATGTACAGAGTCCAAACAGAACCGTGAGGTCAGCACTCTCTGCTCCAGTCGCCCAATCCGCCTTCTGTTGATGGATTGAAATCTCTTATGCCATCTCTTTCTTTTCCCATTCGGGTGACAAGGGCGCTGGGACACTCGGGGCTGATTTGTAGAACCACACAGGATCAACAAATCCCCTCACTGATAACGTGTGTGTGTCTTCCTGTCCCACCTTCACCCCTCCACGATCTGTTTTCTCAGGGAGACGCTGGTGAAACAGGAGAGCCAGGACTTCAGGGGGAAGTTGGACCACCAGTGAGTAATTTTATTTTATTTTTTTGTTTCTACTTAAAACATAAAAAGAAAAGCCACCATCAGGACTTGGTCGCCTGTTTATTTATGTTTTCTTGATCAATTATTCTAGGGTCCAAGAGGAGAGCGTGGAGAGAAAGGAGAATCTGGGCCTGCTGGAGCTGCTGGACCTCCTGGTCCCAAAGGTCCCCCTGGAGATGATGGTCCCAAGGGCAGCCCAGTAAGTTCCATTCATCCTTCACCTGAAAATTAAATGCACTCATGTTTCAAACAGGTATATAGTATAAATTGTTTGTGTCAAAAATCTAAAACAGCTTTTTCTAAATTTCAGGGTCCAAGTGGATTTCCTGGAGACCCTGGTCCACCCGGAGAGCCCGGTCCAGCTGTAAGTTTTTTCAAACTTGTCATCTGATTTATAAATACACCTTTAATGATAATCTTCTTTGACTGAGGTTCTGCTCATTTTATATTTTAGGGTTTAGATGGTCCCGCTGGTGACAAAGGGGATGATGGAGAAGCTGGTCAGCCTGTGAGTGGTTTTATTTTCTCAATCTGAAGTCATTGTTAAAAATTCAAAACTTAAAAAAGGCATTTTTATTTTAATTCAGGGATCACCTGGACCCACTGGAGAATCCGGTCCATCTGGACCACCAGGAAAGAGAGTGAGTACAGTCTCAAGTTTTCTCTATCATGTCTGAGCAGAAAGGTTTATGCTTCAAAAAGTTACGGCCGTTTGACTTTGGGTCAACCTTGTTCCTTAAAACAGGGCCCTCCTGGAGCACCAGGACCTGAGGGAAGGCAAGGAGAGAAAGGAGCCAAGGTAATTTATTCAAAGGGAGGGGAACAGAGTTTAATGAATGTTGTAGTTCAAAGATAGAGAGACGTCGACGGTGGGTCAGGGGTCAGGAGTTTTTTTCCTTGTAACCCATGGGTTGCAGGTTAAAACCCAGACAGTTGTCCGTTCCCCCCCCCCCCCCCCCCCCCCCCACCTCCCCCAGCCTTCTGGTAGTGGTTGGAGGGACCGGTGGTACCTGTGTTCAGCAGCCTCGCCTCTATGTCAGTGTGCTCGATTGCAGCTGTGGCTACGCTGTAGCTCATCACCCTCAGTGTGTGAACGGATGAATGACTCAGCAGTTTGGAGTCCTCTGACCCAGAAGGCACCACAAAAGTGTGGGTCATTTATCATGTGAATAAAACATTTCCATAAACCTGGTGTCTATCTGAAAGGGGGAGCCCGGCATCGAAGGTCCCCAAGGAAAGACGGGTCCTGTTGGCCCTCAAGGATCGCCTGGAAAGCCTGGTTCTGAAGGACTTAGGGGTATTCCTGGTTCAGTTGTGAGTAGTTTTGTTTCTCTACACATTTGAATCACAGTCGTGTCTTGAAACATTTTCAGTCATGTTTAAATAAACATAGAGTCAAAAATACCAACTCGTTTGTGTCTCTTGAAGGGAGAGCAAGGACTGCCTGGTCCGCCAGGCCCAGATGGACCTCCTGGACCCATGGTAAGTAGAAAAGACCTCGTGAACTTTTGGTACCGTTCTTTGTGGCGTGTTGTGATGTGAATGGTGCCTCCTTTTTGCCTGACAGGGCCCTCCTGGTTTACCGGGTTTGAAAGGAGACTCTGGTGTGAAAGGAGAAAAGGTGAATCACACAATAAAAACTGAAGTATTTATATTTTGCTATAATTAGTGAGATTTATTAGCCTCCAGTTGTTTGAATGGTACTGTAATAATCTAGTATATTAGGGTATTATTCACTGTTGCATCAATATGAATTTGTGTTCTGTCTTAAGGGCCATCCTGGTCTGATTGGTCTGATTGGTCCACCGGGTGAACAGGGAGAGAAGGGTGACAGGGGTCTTCCAGGTCCTCCAGGGTCATCTGGTCCAAAAGGAGACAATGTAAGAAAAGCCGACCTAACAGGAGCAGGCTCTTGAGAGTTTTTTGTCCTTTTTAATGCATTTTTAAGTTAACTGAATAATTTTGTACAAATCACATTCGCTGATGGTGGTCCTTCTGTAACCAGAACCGTTATGGGATTGCATTTTCTCCTTCAGGGTATTTCAGGTCCTACAGGTCCACTTGGTCCCATCGGCCCTCCTGGGTTACCTGTAAGTTTTATTTATCATTACAACAGCCCAGTGCGGCTATTTACTGCATCACTATTGATTACTCCGTCACCTTTGTGTCTACAGGGTCCTCCTGGTCCGAAAGGAGCCAAAGGGTCATCTGTAAGTGATTTACAGAATCCTCGTCACTGAAACCCAGCAACAATTTGTCAAGATTAATCATGAGTTCATTTTCTTTTAGGGTCAAACGGGACCAAAAGGAGAGACAGGTTCACCTGGACTTCCTGGTCCTCCTGTGAGTGCACGTTTCTGTTTCTAACAACAGTGTTTTATGGATGCTTTTACATTGTAGCTGGTATTCATCTCTATCCATCTCTCCATAACAGGGCCCTCCTGGTGATGTCATCCACCCGCTCCCCTTAGAAGCTCCCATGAAGGGCAGGACACGCAGGAACATCGATGCCAGCCAGTTGGTCGACGACGCCCCCGCGGATGCCAGCTACAAGGACTACGATGACGGCATGGAGGAAATATTTGGCTCACTCAACTCACTCAAGCTGGAGATCGAGCAGATGAAGCATCCACTGGGCACGCAGAGCAACCCTGCTCGTACCTGCAAGGACCTGCAGCTCTGCCACCCGGATTTCCCTGATGGTTGGTATCGACTAAACAGTGTCCATTTAGTTGTTCTATTAAACCGGTTAAACAAAACAAAGTGTTCCACGCTAAACAGCTATGCCCAATGGCCACCATGGCCCTATAAAAAGCAAGAGTCATTGGAGAAGATCACTTAAAAACCAAAGCTAGGGCAAAGCGGGCTTAAAGAAATAATAAATATTGAATTTAATTACAAAACCCTTAGGGGTAAAAGGTTAAAGGGAGATTACCGAAGCAGAAAGTGGATAAATGAAACTAACATAAGAGCTCTGTGAGCAAAAACAGTGCAGGGCAGGAAATACAGAACTGGCATGGTCCAGTGGCAACAGAACCAGGAACTAAAGGGGAAACAAGCCAAACTGGTATTTAATGAGATAGAACTCATGTGTGAATTAAACCAGGAAGTAAAATCGGAGGCAAGTAATAGAAATAAAACAGGAAACAAAGTCTAAGGCGAAAAGAAAATCAACAGAAAAACTTAAAAACCTCAATAGTCATACTGAGAAATCAGTTCCTGTGGATAAAACCTAAACGTGACTCAGTCTAGACAGATGAACCACGGGAACATTGATGTTAAAACGCCTCAGTTTAAAGAGCAAGTCACCCCCCGACCAGAGTCTCACTCCACCAACACTTCCTGTTTGAAAAAAGCCGCAAAAGGAGGCGTTGCCTGGTGTAACGAGAGGGCGGCGTTGCGGCAGTAAGTGACATCACCTTCATATTTCCTTGCTCAGAGATTTTCCGTTAATGAATTAAACCGAAACACACACACACACACACACACACACACACACACACACACACACACACACACACACACACACACACACACACACACACACACACACACTCACACACACACACTCACACGCACACACTCACACGCACACACACACACGCACACACACACACACTCACACTCACACACACACACTCACACACACACACTCACACGCACACACACACACGCACACATTCACACACACGCATGCACATTCACACACACACACACACACGCTCACCTTGAGAGGCGCCATTTCTTCCTTTCTTTTCTCTTTGAGCCTTACCCTGTACCATCTTTATCTTCATCTCCACCCACAGCACCAGCCACAGCTTTATGTTATTTTATGGTCCTTTTAACTTCATCACAGGAGTGGGTAAAAATGTGCATCTCAACTCAAAATCAACAGGATCGAAAGCTCTTATTCAACTAAGTGTGCTTTTATTAGTAAACCTCTGCCTTCTAATGTGTCACTGGGACAAACAAGACTTTCATTAATTTCCCTTGCTGGTCTTTAGATACTCCTCTCTAATTATTTATGCACCAAAGAATTAATAGTATTTTTTGTTGGGAACTTAATCAACAGAAAATGAAAATAACATTCAGACAGAACTAGTCAATCATTAAACATAACTGCATGATGCATCCTAAATATTATTGCAGCTTATTCATTTGTTTTAATCAATGCTGAAGTTTTATTGCATTGACTTTTGGATATTCACACATTTTTATCATACTTCTTCAGACTAGTACAGGATTATTCATCAACAGGAAAACAATCTTTAACCACAGAAGGTTTAATATCTAAGGAGGAGTTTTATTATGTCGATGTAATGTTACTAAGCATGATGAACATAAGTAAGAAAGGATGATTTATTTTGTGGATCATCACTTTACTTACATTTGTGATAAAATACCAACAACTACAAAAAATGTTTTAGTTCCATTTAACATTTAAATGGTTGCTTTAAAGAGCAAGTCACCCCCAAATCAACTGTTTTTTGCTAATAAACTATATAAATGAGTGTCTAATTGTGCTGGTGACACGTGTAGTCAATATTTTGGCACTTTAGTGCGTCTGAGTAGAAATGTAAATTTTCTGCCTAAAACTGTGAATGTTGCGCCCTCTTCTGATAAAAACTCTGCACTGACTTTGAATTAAAATCTGCCGTCACTATTGGCTAAGAGGTACACTATGACATTAGCTGGTACATTATGATGTCACAATGCCATTGTAAGCCTGTGTGTGTGTTTGTTAGCGACTCCGCCCTCTCAGTCTGCCAGGCAACAGCATTTGTTTCATTTTTCAAACAGGAAGTGGGAGTAGAGTAAACGACCAAGTTCACTGAGAAACTGCTTTTTGTTTATTTTTAAAATGAGTTGAACATGGAGGCTAAATGTGAAAATTGTCTTCTATCCCTGTTTCCTGCTTTAGCCCCCAAAAGTCAATAGGCATGCTCAGATTAGAAACGCAACTCAGACCTATGTCACACAGAAAAGTAGCATTCATGGACTCACCCATCTTGGCCTATGACGGGGAATGCTGTTGCAGAGCATGTCTCAGCTAGCAGAAGCTAGCCGTTTGCTTTGCAACATTGATGCTTTATCTCCACAAAAATCACAAGTCTGAAAGAGTTCTGCTGTGTTGTGAAGTTGTTAATGCTAGCAGAGGGAATGGTAGACTGGCATTGCTGTCAACCAATCAGAGGAAAGATTCTGCCCTCCACACCGCTAGCTAACAGCTACTTCCAGAAACAAGAGCGCCAGGGTTTTTTTCCTACAGAGATTGACCCACGATGCATTCATTTATACTGGAGAACACTGCAAATTTATTGGAAACTAGCGAGCTCTAAGATAGAAACAAGAAGAAGAAGAAGAAGAAACTATCTTATATGGCGCCTCAAGATAAAAATCATGAGGCACTTCACAAGAACAAAAGGATAAAGAAAAAAAAACAAGGCCTCTTTGTGTCCACATTAAGGTTGTCATTAATGCATGATCTTCATATCATTGCATTCTATGTCAGACGTCTTAATCTCACTGAGCACAACAGATAATCCATGCTAACCTGTAATCGCACCTCCTTTCTCAGTTTGTTTTCTGTCTCAATTCATCTCTGCAGGTGACTACTGGATCGATCCAAACCAGGGCTGCTCGCGCGACTCCTTCAAGGTTTACTGCAACTTCACAGCAGGCGGAGAGAGCTGCATCTACCCAGATAAGAAATCTGAAGGGGTACGTCTGGTTGCACGAACACCTGCACACACACACATACACATGAGACATGACAATCCGGTACGCAGAAATAATCAAAAACATTTCTAGCGATTAAGATTGACAGTAAACAAAAAGTTAAAATATTGTTGTTTTTCTCTTCACATATAGAACTAACCGCTGTGCATACCGCACAAGTCACCTGAACATCTCGGCGTCTGCGTGTGTAATTAGCCTCTGTGTGATCACCCGCTGCGATGGTGGCGAGATGCGGGAAATGATTCATCTCCTATTTTACGAGCGTAGTTGCACTGAGACGTCTGAAGCACAAACATCCACTAGCTCATCCAGTCTTTTATTATTGTGTTGTTCTCACACTGCACACGGATCCTGTCACATATAAAGGCCTTTGGCAGGTGACGGGCACACGGAGAAGGTTTTTAGTTCATTATGCATGAGTGTGCAGCAGCAGCAGCAGAGTGGTGAAACAACTGTCTCTGACAACTCCAGGGTTGTGCAACAGCGCAGTGCTACAGCCGTTTTAATGATCCCACTCATCAAGCCTCAGAGGGGCAGGGGTTTGCTTAAGCTCAGAATAATGAAGCAGACTTTTTATAGCACGCTGGCGATGGCCCGCTCTCGTTTGAGTGTGAGGTGGAGAGAGCAGCCCCCGCCGTCAGCCCCAGCACGGAGACTACAAAAAAAAAAAAAATAACACTCCCACGTGCGTTTCAGATGGGCGCGGTTTGTTATGAAAGCACACTCACTGCCCACTCACTGTAATAGGGAAGCTTGCACCGAAGTGGAGACGAGACCGGGATGCGTCCTCTCCGTACACTCAGTCTCCTCCTCCTGGTGCAGGTAACCTTCCAGGCAGCAGGGCTTTAATGGCTCCGTCGGCGACAAGCCGTCTCCGGCCTGTCCCTCATTAAGCTACTGATGACAGCTTCATATCAAACCCTGCTGACTAATTATAGAGGCGTTCATCATCGTCATGGCTGAGGCCATTAAAGCCGAGACCTGTTGGCCAAGTCACCGATTTGAAATGGCATAACAAAGTTACAGCAGCCTGGCTGCAGCAGGGACAGAGTGGGGAGGCTCCTTCATTAGTTCTTAATTAATCTCTGTGTACTCATGAATTTGTCAGCAGCAATTAACAGCCAGCTACAACTGGCTTTTTACTAAATGTTTTACATATATATATATATATATATATATATATATATATATATATATATATATATATATATATATATATATATATACATGTATATATATATATATATATATATATATATATATATATATATATATATATATATATATATATATATACATGTATATATATATATATATATATATATATATATATATATATATATATGTATATATATATATATATATATATACATGTATATATATATATATATATATATATATATATATATATATATATATATATATATATATATATATACATGTATATATATAAATCGAAACTTCCGTTGTTTTGTTTGGCTGTGTCAGGTTGGAGGGAATTAAGGTTATTTAAGCGGTTCAGAGTTAAAAAAGTGGTAGATATGATGTTTCACAAGGTGCTGCTAGAGTTTTGTGAAATCTTACTTCTGATTTTACTACATAAACATAATAATAATCAACTTCTCCTCCATGTTTGCTCGGAGGTGTACGGAGCATCCTGTCCGCTCATTGGTCAGTGAATGAAACCTCCGTTGATTGGTCCTCGTCCGAGCGACAGCGATGAAAAGTTGAAATTGTTTCAACTTTCTGGGATCGCGTCGCTGGGTCGCCTGTGCACGACATGTGCACGAGCGCAAAATTTCACACGTACGTTTTTCGCGTTTCGCTTGGTAGGAGGGAGACCCGCGATTATCGCTTTGTCGCGCATGTCTCATTGAAAATGAGTGGAGAGGCGATGTCGCCTCCCGTGTGTCGAGCCCATTAGTCCTTCAGGGGTACTTCTGAGTTAAAAAATGCTCATGATATACGCATGTGGAGTAACCAGGTAGGTAGGTTTTAACATTGCACATCTGCAACGCCTGCCTCCAGAGGGTTAATGCATTGCTGAAGTATTGAATCGGGGCTTGGTATCAACAGATACTCAAAATCAAATGACTCAGACTCAGGACAGAAAAATTGCGATTGGAACATTCCTAATTAATACTTTGTAGAGAACCTCCTGAGCAGAATCTTCTCAGAGAAATAGTTACACACAAGAGGACTGACGTGCTAACGGCTAGCCCAAGTGCAGCCAAGAAATGTGTCATAGTCAGCTTACAGCCTTAAGTTCTAGCAGTTCAACTTTTATAAACGAATCGGATCTCGACAAGATCAACAGAGCAACGTTATCCTTCTTGTTAAATGTTTCAAACAACGTAACCTCCTACCCCTCTCATCAAACTCACAGATTCATGGAGCCTTCGTCGATTTTGAAATCCGCATGAGACGAAATGGTCAACTTTGGTCTTGGCTGCTTAGCTCTTTAGTTGATTCACGTGTAATCTCTATTTCTCATCTTTCAGGAAACCACCTTCATGCAAACATTGATACAGTAATTCATGGATTATTTAGTTGAAATCTTTCTGCTGTGAATAAGAAAATGAAAAGTTGATTATTGAAGGTCCAGTAATAATTGAGTTTACCCATGAATTTTTTATGTTTTTATAGATTTTTGTAAGCAAGGTTAGTCTTTAAATTAGGCAAAGGTTTTATTTTGGAAATCTTTAACATGTTTTCTGTGTGATGACGTCTTAAGTATGATGCAACAGCTTTTAGCCTAGAACTTGGTCCTCTGTGGAACGTCTATTTCTTCCTCTTTTCATCCGGCCCAGTCCAGTTGGTCTGCTTGATCTCACAGAGTACTGTTACAGGTCTGGAGGATTCCTCAGAGAACAACACGAGGATGAAAGAAGAATAGCTAAGAGAGGGAGTGTGTGGGATTTCTGTCAAATCTGTTTCCTTTCTTTAACACCACTCTTTCTCCCCTCCTCCTCCTCTGCCTTTTTGTTGATCCATGCCCCCAGGCTAGGCTCACCTCCTGGGTAAAGGAGAACCCCGGCTCCTGGTTCAGTGAATTCAAACGTGGTAAACTGGTAAGCCAGACTCCCGACCTTCCCGTGTCCTATCCCTGAACACCTGTCATATTTTACAGAGCAAAATGGCAAAATGGCCCAAAGACTCTCCAGGCACTTGGTATAGTCACTACAAGAGAGGTTCCCTGGTAAGTGGCTCCGCCTTCGGTCCCAGAGTCCCAGCTGAGGTTGGGACTCTGCGCTCCTGAGGCCCTGCATGGTTCTGGTTCTGCACTTTAGAGCATGAATCAAGCCTGGCACTTTGCTTGTTGGTTATTGAGATGCATGAGTCAGCACAAGCTTCAGTCCAGCAACGTACAAGAGATGCTCTTGCAGGGAAACAGAGGAAAGGTTTGTGGAGCAAACAGACAACAAACTTCCTAGTTTGGTTTTCCACCTTCTCCTGCTTCCGCTCCACTCGTAGAGCATCTCCTACTAGTGACTGGGTGCCTCGGCAACACCTTGACTAAAGAGTTAATACCTTAAAGCTGCTTTCCGGAGTTTTCCCCTTTCAGAAATGATGTATGACTTTTCAGAAATCTGTAAAAGCGATTGTCTCATCATGTACTCTGACACAATGTAAGCAATACGTCGTTTATTTATTTATTTTTTTTGCTAAGCACGCCCCCTGCCCCAAAGAGCTCTGTTCAATAGGAAACTAAGCGCCAACCAGAACTAACCATTAGCGTTAGACTACCGCTTACTTGCTTCAAATTTAAGGAGTACCTCGGCTGATGCAGATTTGATGAACTTTTCACGGACAAGTAAGTCTCTAAAATACAAATATATGAAACCACAACATGACATGAGAATAATACATGTAAAACAACGTGTTTTTGCACCGTTTGTCGGCTAAGAAGCACATTTATAAACAGAAACATGAAGTTGCGATCTTAAACAAACAGGAATAGACTTTTTGTGTGATATTCTTGTCAGCCACTAGATGGTGCCATCGAATAAGAGAAATCCTCCGGAAAGAAGCTTTAAAGGGGGTGGGGGGTGGGGGGTGGGGGGTCCGTAGTCTAATGTCCTCAAGGAGAGGAGATTTTTTAAATTTGGACAGCTATAGCTCCCACCCCTGCTCCCCCTCCGCTTCAGGGAGGAGCTGAAAGCTACGGCTCATACCGCACATGCTCAGAGACAACAGAGAGCTAAAACAATCGTCCGATCTAGTGTAAGGTTCAACGCTATACTGATCACTTCACTCACATACACAAAAGATAAATCCCCTTTTGTTTAATTCCCTCTTTAAGCACAGTTTGACTTTAACAGACTAACATCATTTCAAAGCAGAATGAGTTAGCATTCAAGCTAGCGCCACATTGGCCTATGGTAATGGCAGCCTGCAGTTGGCTGATAGCTCTCCCTTGTGGATGTACAGATCTGTTGGTCAGCACTCTAGGCTCGCGTTAATGATCGTTTTACTGTAGAGGGAAGGGGAGGGACCTAGGGAAGATATAAATTCAAAAAGATTACATATTTGATATAATAGAACAAGGTCAGATAGACAAATTCAAGCACTTTTAAGTTACCTCAAAACCTTTTAAACAAGGTACCCCAGCTTAAAACTCATTAAAGTACTTGTCTCTGGCATTCCTGCTCAGCACATTCCCACTGTGTCCAAAGCAGCTCTGAGTCAAACAGGTCAGGTACTCAGTCACCACCCAGGGGGATTCTGGGTTCTCAGCCTCTGTTGAATGTGATGGTGAAGAGGTAATGTTTCTGTTGGGATGCCGGCCTGCATCCCCACAAAGTGAGGTGATGAAAACTGGCGGGGGCAAATGAGGAAAAGCTGCCCTGCTTTCCTCAGATGCAGGACCATGGTGCTGACACTCAAACATGAGTCACATCTTGTATTTGATTAGCAAAATTTATAAAAATGTAGCACTAATGGGCTGCACAAACAGACCCAGATGAGAATCGGCTCCCTGTTAACGTCAACTCTGACTGTCAGCACTGTGAGTTTTGTTTTTTGCATGTGTGTGCTTGTGTGTATATGTGTGTGTGTGCAAACACTGAAGAAAATACAGTCTCATAGAGTCTGTTGCTCTGGCTGCATGGCACGACTTCTGCATGTGCACTGTACCCAGTGAGTCCTGTTTCCCCGAAAGGCGACGCGATCATGTGGATCTAATGGATTCCTGATGGTTGGTATTTGCAGATTGTCGTTTACGGATGTTAAAATAAACTAGGACCGGCTCCAAGTTGATCCAATCAGCCAGGATTACGAAGCACTTATCAGCTTAATGAGACACAGCTCAGCGTTCTGTAATATGAGCTTAAAAAGAAGAGGATTCTAGGTTAATTACAAGATAATTAGCATGTCATTACAATCTGCTTTCAGAATGATATTTTCAGGATTTTGCTCTCATTTGCTCATATTGGTTTTTAGAATGTACACAACTGTTCAATTAACATTTAAATTAGGTGTTTAGTTCAGCTTTTTGATTTATTTAGGCTTTAAATATTATCTTTGCTTCCAGCCCGGGAGCTATAACCGTGTCGTGTATCAGTCAACCCCTTCCATGCATTTTTACATGTATGCACCTTAAGGATAATGCTGGTTGTTTATTGCCATTATTTTACCCATTAGTATTTATTTCTTTGTTTTTTCCATATTTATCTAGGTCAAAATCACACAGTTTACATCAGTACTGATCAGAAGCCACTTTCGTTTGAGTTCAGATGAATATTTGTGTTTTAGCCAGTTCGTGGTAAGCTGGAGTCTTTGTAGTTCCTGGATTGTTTCTGCACATCCTGACCCAGTACTTATTTCTTTTTAATCTGATGGGGACAGATGAGTAGGTGCTGTCAAACAAATCCTTTCAATGCCGTATACGTAGAACCTGAGCTGCGGCCAATCACTAATAATAGCTGTGTTTCCACTATAGGAGACGTGGGACATTTACGATGGCTCCGTCCTCTCAGCCATTGTGTCTCCATGCAAAATAAACCCCATCAGAACGTTGCTAAGATGTCAGCATAGTGTGCCCCTTTTGGTAGTTAGTGATGTCACTGAGCAGCTTCAAAAGGCATGCACCAATATTATTAATAATAACATTTTAACCCATAATTTAACCCATTCGGAAGATGGGGGGATGCGGCTGTGTGACGTAAAAAGCTGATTTCAGGGACCGTTTATTTTTTAATGGTGCTCTGAGACGGTTTAGAAACTGGTTTTAAAGCAGCATGAATGTTGCTTCCTTTCTGCTTTACCAGCAACTTTTCCAATTTTACAAATGCCATTTTTTGGGGGGGGGGGGGGGGGGGGGGGGGGGGGCGACATCCACCAAATGTCATTTCCCACTGAGTTACATCCAATCAGCACAAGATAACCACAAGTCCCACCCAGTGACTCTACCAGGCCTTTCCAGAGTCAATACCCCAGTTCAGGCACTCGGTTGGTTCCTAAACTTGGCCCTTAAAATGGTCCTCTTGGGCCAGGCCGGTGAAATGGAGACGAGCGCACGCCGCGGTGAATTCGCCCGGAGGTTCTGTGAGCGGAAACCGGCTTGACGTGCCAGTCGTCCAGAGTTACGACATTCAAGAACCTTCAGCACCACTTATTAAAAGATTAAGATAAATTAATAGCTATTTGAGACAGTATGTATACTTTTGACCCCCTAATAACTTCTGAATCTTTAAAATGTAATTCCCCTCAGGAGGAAAAGCCATGCCAAGCGACCATCAAATGCCCCAAATAATTTAGCATTCATGACTATGACGATCTTGTAATTTCTGAAACTCCAGTACAAATCATAATTCTCTCATTTCGTTACGTCTTTGCTGTCGGCAGGACATTTCTCCTACCCTACTGATTATTTAAGAAGTGCGTCTTTTCTCTTCAACTGTGTCTCTGTTCCTTCAGCTGTCCTACGTGGATGCAGAGGGCAACCCCATCGGCGTGGTTCAGATGACGTTCCTGCGACTGCTGAGCGCGGCAGCCCGCCAGAACATGACGTACAACTGCTACCAGTCAGTGGCGTGGTACGACCAGGAGCAGGACAGCTACGACAAGGCCATCCGCTTCCTGGGATCCAACGATGAGGAGATGTCTTACGACAACAACCCTTACATCCGCTCCCTGGTTGACGGCTGCGCGGTGAGTCCAGAAAACGACCTTGTGTTTTTACTCAGCGGTTGGCGGACTTCCTTCGATGAACACTGTTTGAAGCGGCTCAGTCAGTACAAGCGTGTGATGTTTTTGTTGTTTCCCACGCATTAATCCCACGTCCCGCTGTGTCCCCTGTCCTCCACAGTTGAAAAAGGGCTATGAAAAGACAGTGCTCGAGATCAACACACCAAAGGTGGAACAGGTGCCTTTTGTGGACATCATGTTCAATGATTTTGGCGGCTCCACGCAGAAGTTCGGATTCGACGTGGGACCCGTCTGTTTCATCGGCTAAGAACTTTCACCGAGCAAATGGAGCAAAAGATCCAATAAACAAGCCTATTTTTGTTTTCTCACAAAGAAAAAGAAAGAGAATAGGACAATTCTACTTGTAAAAAAAAAAACTGTTTCCATAAAGCAAAAAATGAAATTATGTCAAGCATACAGTGAAATTTGAAAGGAATAGAGAGGAAATAACCTTGAAACCTCAGAGTGCCTTCTCTATCACATGCAAGTTTTGAAACTGGATTTCAGATCCTCCCCCCCTCACACACACACACACAACCAAGCCCCATGACATAACACTTTTTCTTTCATTTTTTCCCTCCAAAACAACTAAAGCGACCCTGAAAGCTGCAGCCGTTCCAGATGGTCGCAGTTTTCCATGGACTCCATCCGATTTGGCTCTTTCCTTTACTTTTAGTTTTGATCTTTCATGTTGCCACCTGTCTCTTTTCAGTCTGTCCACCCCAGGAGCTTTGTTTGTGCATAATTGTCTCACCATTCCCCTGGAATGGTACTTATATATATATATAAATATACATATATATATAAATGATTTTTTTAAAGTGTTTGTAAGTACATTCTGTATATTTTCCTGGTTGTGTTTATTGCTTTTCTAGCTTCAAAACATGCATGTGACTTTAATAATTGTGAGGTAGGAGACCATGGAACGTCTAAATTGCAGAAGCAGGAGGATATTTGACTTGTAAAGTTAAAAAAAAACAGAATTTTTGTGGAGCAAACTATTGTGTGATTTAGGAACAGAATAAAAATGTTCTGTGGCATCATGTGACAGTTGTCTGCAAACAAATGAAACATTCCCGTGCCCGTTGAACAAAAAGAGACCCGTCTCAACGGGGATATCATTAACTTAATAGACTTCCGTATGCTTGCTGAGATCCATGCAGTGTGGGAGGTGATGTTGCATTTGACTGAAAACAAAGAAATCAGAACCTATAGGTGCTATTTTCTCCCTTCTGTGGTGCTACGTATTTTTCTAGTTTGTGTTGTTTGAGTGAAAGACAGTTTGTGGTGGCAGTACTTCTAACTTCAGCAGAATGGCTTCACCACCATTTCCAACCCAGGCAGATCTTGGCTGCATCCGTAACCTTTGGTTTTTTTTTTTCCTGATTTTTGCATGCAATTGCTCTCCGTATACGCTCTCAGATCTTCCTTATTTCCTGTCCTGCAGACGAGACAAGTCTGCCTGTGCCAAATGCTGGAGCAAGGAGAAGAAGAGGTTGCACGCCTCTTGGGTTTTTATTGCATGTTATTGCTGCACAGCCTGTTTTACGTGGGATCGTCTGTGCCACGTCGTACTGATGGAGTCGGTGAAATCAAAAGGTGGGGTCAAAGGGATAAACTGGAGACTCTGAACTCTTCCAAAGATTTTCACTGACATATTTAGCTTTAAGTGACTGAAAAAAATCTTCTTTTTATGGGAAACAACTTGAAAAGTCACCAGATCAGCCTTCTAGAAAATGTTGCTCATTCATCATCAAAGAAAAAGAATAAAAAAAGCTTGTTGGTTTCTGCTTTTGCCCTTCGTGTAATAATTGCTTTTTGACCAAATCGTGCACTCTCTATGCTTATGACCACTAGTATCTACCAGAGTTTTTACTGCTTTTAACAAATGTCCGTTTTGTTTCCTGTTTTAAAAAGAAAAAAAAAAGTCTTTAATGGTGTGACTTGAACCATTTCTGTCAAGGTAACTCAGTCTGTTTGTAGATCTTTGGTTTTATTTTTCATGGTTTTGCAGCACACCCAAATTTCTTATTTACCTCTCAATAAAATGGAATTTTTTTAAATGTTATTATTATTATTTGGTATTTTTTTGTAAATTTTCAGAACCAGCAGTAATGCTGCCATTGTTTTATTTTATTATTTTTTTGTTTTATTCTGTAGATTTCCATTCATGCTGTTCATTTTCACAGTTTTGCCAAACCTGTGTAATAAGGATGAGAGGATAGAGGATTATATTGGTTTTCATGTCAATAAATTCAAGTTTCCTGTGGCCATCTATTCCTGTATCTCTTTTGAAGCATTAAAACTTATCTGTATGCATGAAATTGTAAAGTTTTTTTCTCTAGTTTGGATTTTTGTAGAGCCACTCGACCTCTACTCAGCGCTTCAGTTCAACGCCAGGACAGCCGTTTTATTAAATGCTACTTTTCCTTGCACCTGTAACTCTACCAAAGCCAATGTCCATTTGTAGTATATTTATTGTATTATTTAAGACAAAAATAAATGATAAATGATACCATAGTGTAAGTGTAAGAAGCCCCCTCTTTACGTGCACACAGAAGAATGAATTCTGAATTATTTTGCTATTTTAGATTATAGAAATTGTGGAAATCAGTCATTTTAATGGCTCCTTTTACAATAAGCTTTGCTATAATTTGAGTTTTTTATTGTCTTGTGTTGTGTGTGTGTGTGTGTGTGTGTATGAATTTTAAATGAGGGTTCTAGTTCCACAGATTCTCCACGAGGGAAGATCTCCTGATCTGCTGACTACTTCCTGAAAATTCCTCCACCAAGCCTTCATTTGTGGACCAATCATTTCCATCGCTCCCAGATCATCTTTCCTGCATTTTTCAACCTGCATCACTATCAGGAAAAACAAAGAATAAACTGAATGTTTGCATTGGTGATTTTTATAGAATTAAAGATGTTTTAACTTTGTCGAGCATTACTAATTTTAATACGTCTGCTTTGATCTGGTTTGAGCAGGAGTATCTCGTTAGGAGACGGGCGCAGAAGTAAAATAGTAAATAAATAAAATTTGCAACACTTTTAATTTGCATATTAATGCTTTATGAAGTGTTTGCGGGATGGATTTAGGGCGATCAAAGTGCACAAGGCTGAATTCTGGTTAAGGAGCACACAAACAAAGTTTGAGCAGCAAAACAGTAAGTGGGGCAGCTACAGTAAATGGGTTTGGGAATGAGGAGAAGTGGGTCGGAAAGTGTGTTTCTTTAGTGTGTTAAAGCTGCAGCTGATGGATGAAAATGATTTTGGGTGATTTGCAGGAGGGTGGCTGGATGGATGGATGCAAATGACCCAATGCCATAAGGAGAGGAGAAGATGTTCAAGAGAAAAGAAAAGAGAGAAATCATTTTTATGCATGAGGAGCTCTCAGTCACGCTTTGTGCTCATGTTTGCTGCAACGTTTAATTGGTTGACAAGAAAGGATTCAATAAAATATTTGCCAAATTTCAAACGTGAAGCATCCAAAAACCCATATCATAAATGAGCATTTTCCCCCTGAAGTTTCAAAGGAATATTAAACAACCTTTTCATATTTTTACATCATCTTCATGACCCAGTATGTGCTTGGATTGGAGGGGGTTGAACCACCAAATAGTTCCCGAGTCCAGCCGTGTCTGCAGCTCATCGCTCCCCACGGGTGGGTCAAATGCGGAGGACAGTTTTCACCACAACACATCAGTGTGTGTGACAACTATGAGACTTTAATCTTTAACCCTCTCAGACTCAAAACAAGTTTTTATGAAAGGACGAGAAACTAAGTCCTTCAGCGGAACTTCTGAGGTACAAAATGCTCATGAAATATGTGTGGAGTAACCAGGTCGGTAGGTTTTAACGTTGCAAATCTGCAACACCTGCCTCCAGAGGGTTAAATGACCCTTTACAAGGTTAATGCAATGTCACTCAGACCCCACCTCCCTCTGTGGACAGAATACTGCAATTGTTACTTCAGAGTTGCTGGTCCAATCCCTGCTGGTGGGGGGAAGTGTGGAGCCGACATGGTGGAGCTGCAGTCTGCTTCCAGCATGTTTCTTGCATGTTTAAGATCATGAACACAGCTGATTTCTTAATTTTAGTGATGAATCACTCCTGTACACATTTGGGAAGGTTGGGGAGACATTTCAGCTGTTAGATTAAGGTGTTAAAAAGACTAATGCACACACTTAGAGAAAAAATAAAGTTAAAGGCTGAAATGGCAGGAAATAATGCAATTAGAATGTGGTGGTAGAAGAAAGTAGTAGTAGGTGTGTGTGTGTGTGTGTGTGTGTGTGTGTGTGTGTGTGTGTGTGTGTGTGTGTGTGTGTGTGTAGGACCTGACATCCAGCAGTGTGGAAAGTGGTGTATCCTCCAGCAGTCTAAGCCTATAACAGCATAACTACAGATATACTGTAACTCTGGATAACCTAGCCTTTTAGATGAAGGCATGTTTTTCAATTCAATACAGTTTTATTTATATAGCGCCAAATCACGACAAGAGTCATCTCAAGGCACTTCACATAATAAACATTCCAATCTAGGTCAGTTCGTTAAGCCAATCAGAAAAAATGTTTCCTGTATAAGGAACCCAGCAAATTGCATCAGGTCACTGACTTTACTGCAATCCTCATACTAAGCAAGCATGTAGTAACAGTGGAGAGGAAAACTCCCTTTTAACAGGAAGAAACCTCCAGAGGATCCTGGCTCAGTATAAGCAGCCATCCTCCACGACTCACTGGGGATCGAGAAGACAGAGCAGACACACACACACACACACACACACACACACACACACACACACACACACACACACACACACACACACACACACACACACACACCAAACAATGTGTCTGTGAATACATTGTGATTTCTTAGTAAATATTGTATTTGGTGAGATTTAAACTTTATTGTATTTATTCTAGTGAATCTATGATTAAAGGGATAAACTAGTAGTAGCACATCCAACATCAAGGAGAGCAAAAAGTTACTATCAGGAGAGGGAGAATGTTTAAGTGGCTAGCAGCAGTGTGCTAGACGATGGCCCCCTCCATGAGGCCACCACAGCTCAGCAGAACATCATTGTAGCTTCTTCTGGGGAGAAAAACAGAGAAAAAATAAAGTTAACAGCTGAAATAGCAGGAAATAATAGAGTTAAAGAGCAGATTGTAGAAGAAAGTAGTCGAGTGTGGAAAGTGGTCCAGCAGTCTAAGCCTATAGCAGCATAACTACAGAGATAACTCTGGATAACCTAGCCTTTTAGATGGAGGCATGTTGGAGGCAGGGCAAGGGAGAGCCGTCTTTACCAACTGTGCACTCCACCTCCCTCTACTCCCCCACTTGTCCAGATTTAGGCTAACATCAGATTTTAACCATAGGCCCTATCAAATAAAAATGTTTTAAGCCTAGTCTTAAAAGTAGACAAAGTTTCTGCCTCACGGACTAAGGCTGGGAGCTGGTTCCACAGGAGAAGAGCCTGATAACTAAAAGATCTGCCTCCCATCCTAATTTTAGATATTCTGGGAACCACCAGTAAACCTGCAGTCTGAGAGCGAAGTGCTCTGTTAGGAACGTATGGAACAATCAGATCACTGATGTATGATGGAGCTTGATTATTAAGAGCTTTGTATTATGAGAAGGAGGATCTTAAAATCTATTATGAATTTAACAGGTAGCCAATGTAGGGAAGCTTAGACAGGAGAGATATTATCTCTCTTTTTAATTCTCATCAGAACTCTAGCTGCAGCATTTTGGACAAGCTGAAGACTTTTAACTACATTCTGTGGACTTCCTGAGAGTAATGAATTACAGTAATCCAGTCTTGATGTAATAAATGCATGAACTAGTTTTTCAGCATCACTCCTGGAAAGGATGCTTCTAATCTTAACAATATTCCGAAGGTGGAAAAAGGAAATCCTACAAACCTGTTTAACCTGGGATTTGAATGACATGTCCTGGTCAAAGATAACACCAAGGTTCCTTGCTTTGTTCTCGGAGACTAATGTAATGCCATTAAGGTCAGGTGATTAACTAAGCAATTTCCTTTTCTGGATTTCTGGTCCAAAGATGAGATCTTCCGTCTTGTCTTGATTTAAAAGCAAAACGTTTAGAGTCATCCAATTTTTATATCCTCAAGACAAGCCTGTAATCTACCTAACCGATTAGGTTCATCAGAGTTAATGGCTAAATATAACTGAGTATCGTCAGCATAATAGTGGAAGTTTATCCCATGCTGTCTAATGATTTTACCAATTGGGAGCATATATATAGTAAAAAGAATTGGTCCAAGCACTGAACCCTGTGGTATTCCACAAGTAACCCTGGAGTATGAAGAATATTTGTCATGTACATTTACAAAAATAAATCTGTCAGACAGGTAGGATTTAAACCAGCCTAGCGCTGTTCCTTTGATCCCGACAACATGTTCAAGTCTTTCTAAAAGAACATTGTGATCAACTGTGTCAAAGGCAGCACTGAGATCTAACAAGACTAGAACAGACATAAGATTCTTATCTGAGGCCATGAGAATATCATTTGTAACTCTCACTAATGCAGTTTCAGTGCTGTGATACTCTCTAAAACCAAGACTGAAATTCCTCAAACAGATCATTATTGTTTAAATGCTGACATACTTGGATGGCCACTATTTTCTCCAGGACTTTGGATAAAAATGGAAGGTTAGATATTGGTCTATAAGTCATTGGGTCATCTGGATCCAGAGAAGGCTTCTTAAGTGAAGGTTTGATTGCAGCAACCTTAAAATCTTGTGGTACATACCCATTTACTAAGGATAGATTGATTATATTTAGAATGGGGGCAGTAACCAAAGGAAATGCATCTTTAAATAATTTGGTTGGGATTGGATCCAAAATGCAAGTTGAAGGTTTAGATGAAGCTAATATTTTTGATAGCTCTGAAAGCTCAACTGGATCAAAACGGTTCAAGCACAGATGAGGTTCTACAGTCACCTCTGATGCTGCCTCACTTACTGAGGAAGAAGAAATCGCATTAGGGAGGATGCTAAAGATTTTGTTTCTAATAGAATTAATTTTACTTGTAAAAATCCCATGAAGTCATTGCTGCTGAGGGCTAAGGGAATGGATGGGTCAGAGCTATGATTCTGTGTAAGTTTAGCAACTGTACTGAAAAGAAATTTTGGATTATGCTTATTCTCCTCAATTAATGCTGAAAAATAAGCAGTTCTACTTTGTCGAAGCTTATTTTTATAAAGCACAAGACAAATTTTCCAGGATAGGTAGGCCTCCTCATGGTGCGTAGAGCGCCATGTTCTCTCCAATTTCCTAGAGTTTTGTTTTAAGGCTTGTAAATGAGAATTAAACCAGGGAGCCAACTTCCTGTCCCTAATTACCTTCTTTTTTAAAGGGGCAACATCATCTAATGCCACACGTAAAGAGGAATTAACATGATGAACTAAGGCATCAATTTGTGAGGGGCTAGAACTGAAAATATTGCCCTCTGTTACATTCCTCTGAGATGCTGAGGACAGTAAAGATGTAACAGTT